ACCTAGAGAATGGTCCGAAGAAAATATTTTAGCGCACTTGAACCGTTAGGATTTTGGTCTGTTTGGCAAATTAGTCAATAAGACCATTCTATACACCCATCTAAACTTGACACACAAGAGTATGTTTTTTGAGCTGCCGCACTGGTCCAAATTGAAACTACGCCGCAACCTCGATGTTATGCATGTTGAGAAGAACATGTTTGATACACTGGTTGGAACTATATTAGACATTGAGGGAAATACGAAGGACACGATCAAAGCTCGCATCAACTTGGAGCGAATAGGAATAAGGCCACGTTTACGAATGACGATGGAGGGTGAGATAGCCAAAAAGGGGCTAGCTTCTTTTTCAGTAAAACAAAAAAAGAGAAAAAGGTTTTTAAAGTTTCTATCCTCCGTAAAGTTTACAGATGTGTATGCTTCAAATATCGGACGATGTGCAAACGTAGATGGGGGAAAATTTTATGGGTTGAAGACTCACGAAGTCGATTATATTGTTGGCGAGATTTTGTTCTCAATTATCTATTAGGACGTTGCGAAAGTTTGATGTACAACAGTTACGCACTGACATTGTCGAAGTCCTATGCAAGTTTGAACAAATATTTTCTCCTTCTTTCTTCACAAGTATGATCCACGTGATGATTCACTTGCCAGATGAGGCATTACTTGCCGGACTCATCAATTATCGATGAATGTATCTAATTAAATGGTATAAAGTCCTTAGTCATTAAGTAATTCGTGATCAATTGACGATTTAACTTATTTGAATCATCATAATTTTATTTTTGCATATCACTGGGTGAGTTAAAGAAGAGTGTAAAGGACAAGGTAAAGCCTAAATGATCAATTATGGAGGCTTCGGTGACATTTGAGACGAATACGTTTTGTGCTATGTACTTACAAGACATTGAGACGACGTTCAATCGACCATACTATAATAATGATGGTGGTGTGAGAAGGCAAAACTATATGTGTTTGCCCAAATCACAATACCATTTAGCGAACTAGTACGAGGCAATTCATTCACCGAAAGGGATATGCAAGTAGCTCATTGGTTCATACCTAACAATTGCGATGAGACAATTGAGTACCTAGATGAGCATGAAGAGTTGATGAAGTGGGAACATCCTTTGCATTTATATGCCGTGAAGCACTGCGACTTGTTTCCTAGTTGGTTTTACGAACAAGTAAGTTGTTTAGGTTTTTTTTATTGGTTTTGTCCTAAAATATAATTTCTTGATAGTTGTCTTAAATTTTGGTAAAACAAACATGTCAATTTTTTTTTGTATAAATTAGGTGAAAAAATTGAAGGAAACTAATTCTCCCGCGTATATTGATGAATTATACCACTTGACTATCAGACCTCTAAGCGCGGAACTGTACTCAGGGTGTCATGTGAATAGCATAAAATTATTGGGAGCTAAGCGTGATGACAAGCTTTGTATTCAAAATACTGGTGTACATGTCCCATGAGCGGGAAATATTGCAGACATTGATTTCTATGGCAAACTAACAAGTGTGGTCCAATTGCTTTACAAAGACCGTTGCCAAGTCATCCTTTTTAAGTGTCGTTGGTTCGATAGAAACCCTAGTAGGAATGGGAGTGTAAACGGGACAATGGTTTACTATCGGTGAACACTACCCGATGTTGGTACAGTGAAAACCCGTACATTTTGGCAACTATGACCAAGCAAATTTTCTACATCAATAATCCAAAGGCCGGGAAGGGATAGAAAGTTGTTCAAAGGATTGATCATAGAGGGGTGTATGATATTTCGGACCAAGATCTTGACGACAACGATGATGACGACAACTTTGCCAACCAACTCCTCGAAACTTCAACACAAATTGATGCAAAAACACTTCAAGATACTAATATTGTCTAAGAACCATTTTAGGTAGTTGGAGGTCCTTAAATTGAAATTCCTATAGACTCAATTACAATTGATCTTGGAAGTCTCCCAAGATACAATCCAAAACTTCCCAAAATCAAAATATGGCCGCCTTTTTTTTTAAATGTTCATTAAACATTGGGTGACAAATGAGGGTGAATCGTCGCGCAATACCGTATTGCGCAATGAATGGGATAACTTCGTCGCTACAGGTCCTTAAAAATTCCCAAATTAAAATGTAGGCAACTTTTTTTAAAAATGTTCATTGAATATTGCACGATGAAATGTGCTATGTTTGTCACGCTTTTTACTTATACGCGACAAATATTTTCCTTTTGTTGTGCATTGTTCTCAAATTAACAAAAAATAAGGCGGGTTTTTTTTAAAAAATTCATTAAAACTAAGCGACAAATGTGTTCGTCGCACAAAGTCCTTCGCATTATTAGTTCCAAAGAGCCTTTCTTTCTCTCATTTTCCGGAACCTCTATCTCCCCATCGAACTCTCTCACTCCAACCATCTCTCTCACTCGAACTCTATCTCCCTCGAACTCTCTCCCCCCCCCTTGAACTCTCTCTCTCCCTCCTTGCAATTCTCTCTCTTTCCCTCGAGCTTTCTCTTTCTCGCTAACTCTCTCTCTCTCTCTCTCAACTCTGAGGTAATTTGGTTTTTTTTTCATTTGTTAATTATTTTAGATGTATGGTTTTGTGGATTGATTACATATTAGGCATTAAGGGTTACTGATTTAGGGATTTTGTCAATTTGGGGATTTAGGGTTTATCTCGATTTGGGGATTCAAGTATTTCGAAATTGGGGATTTAGGGAGTAGGGCTCGGGTGGGCGTCAGGGATGGGTGGTGGGTGGTGGGGGGTGGGGGGTGGCAGTTGGGTTGGGTGGCGGTGCCTAAGTCATTGAGGGTTGGGTAGGGGTGGCGTGGGGATGAGTGGTGCGAGGTAGGGGTTGGATACGGTTAAAATTTTAAATTTCATAATTTTTATGCAAATTTCATTTAATTTTCAATTGATTCAATTTGTTAATATGTTAACAAATTTCATTTAAATTACTTAAATTTGTTAAGTTGTTAACCTTATAATTTTCTGTTTGAATTTTTAAAGTTTAGGGTTGTTTTTGATAATGTTAGGATTAACATATTAGCGTTAGGGATTATTTTATAACTTTACAATTATAGGTTTAGAATTTTAGTTTAGAATTATTTTATATTTTGTAAGTTTACTTGTTCATTTGTTACCTTTAAAACCATAGGTTTAGAATTGTAGTTTAATTTTTTAATTTTAGAATTAAGATTTTAGTTGTAGGTATAATATTATTAATGATACACCCCGACCGAGATCAGGGCATGCTGGCCATCACGTGGAAGTGACGTAACCATGTGCACAGTGCGTGAGCTAAGAATAATAATAAAAGTACGAATAAATAAAAGCCAAGCTATACACTAAGTAAATAACATACACGTGCAAGCGTAAGTGTGAAAAACAATGTTCAGAGCACGGAAGACCTAGTGCAGTCCGGGAGAAACAAACACTAAATAAACACACCTAAATGTGGTCCTACACTGGTGATAATCTGTCAGATATGCCGTGAATTCCTCGAGAGCCACCAAAAGAGCTATCTAAACTAGAACCTGGAGGGGCACAAAACAGAAAGTGTGAGTGGGCAAAAACAAAACTTTTCAAATCATTTCAATATCAAAAGTACTAACCCCTCGCCGTAAAACCTGTATAGTTTCCCAGAAAATAGAATATGCATATATATATATATATATAAATATGCTCAGAAATATGCCATGTTGAACGTCTCTAAACAAAATGCAAGTACTTAGGTAATGTCAATCAATGCCATGTAATCTGTCAGTCGGAGTCACCTAACGTGACCTGTATGGCTGAATCTAGAGCTCAAATCCCCAACTCACTAATTATACCTGCACACGAGTCAGAACCACCTAAAGTGGTCTGTATGACAGGACTGGGTGTAAATAAATACGCTCAAGTGCTACGATCACGTGAAGACTGGGCGAATAATCGCGGGTCACCTACGAGTCAGAACCACCTAAAGTGGTATGTACGACAGGACTGTGCACCTAACTTGGATCCAAGATGAGCGTGTGGTGCGGGAGGTGAACATCATGTGAAGGACTGTGCCCTACTTTGGGAGGGAGCACTAACACCGGGGGTGTAGATTATGAGCTCTCTATGTATCTCAATTCTCTACTAAACATAAACATAAATCATAACTTACCTGGCACTTACCTGTGCATCCGCAACACCAAACATATATATATATATATATATATGCAACTAATAATGCATAATTAAACGGGCAAACATAATGCATGGCATATAAAACATATAGACGCTTCATTTCATTTTCTGGGAAAAACACAAGTATATAGGTATATACGGAAAACCAAAAGCCCACTCATTGGTATGTAGAAGGGTCGTAACCCCCTTGCCTCGAGTGACTGCGCTCGTCCTCGGGATAGGTCTCACCTATATGCGAAACAATTATAAAAACGTTAATTTTAAAGCACAAAACCAACATTACGAAATAACTTCTCAGACAATGCTCAAATGGGGTGTATGAATACACCAACGTGATCTACTCAACCTCACGAACATCCCCATATTTTTAAAATAATTTTCCGACGCCGCATGTGCCCCCACGCGCCGGGCAAGGCACGGCCACACGCGCCACCCACGCGCAGGCACGTGCCTGGCACACTGACGGCGTCAATTAACGCCGTCAGGAATATTCTATTAAATCTGACAGATTCCGTTAACGCTGTTAGGAATATTTCGTCCAAACTGACGGAATATTCCGTCGTCTTCTCCGGCCAAACTCCGGTGCCATCGCGCGTCGCCAAAAAACCGGGAAATTTTCCAAACTTCATATCTCACTCGTTTTTCACCAAAATTTCACGAAATTGGTACCAAAATGAAGCTTACAACTAGAGGAACAAATCCATACCACTTTCAAGCACTAAAACCAATGGAATCTCACCAGGAAAACTCCACCAAATCCGGCCAAACCTGCAACTCACGATCCCGACGTCCAAAACCTTCAAACGAACCACCCCGAGCCTTCTAAGGACCTCACCAGGTAAGGGAACCTTCATCTGGTTGGAAATATTGTGGGAGAGATCTTAAGGGATACCCAGTCCATTCGAGGAGTCTCAAGGATTCCGGAAGACAAGTGAGGCCTTGGGAAGGATGCACATTATGAACTTGGAGAAAACGAAGTTGAGACAAATTTGAGAATGCTTCTGGATTCCAATGAGCCACTTCTAATATAGGCAACTCTATAACTATCCCTTGAACTACGTTTGTTCCCTAATTATACAAAAACAAGAATAAGTAAAGTGAAGATTATTATGCAAGGAAAGTAAATAGAGTATAGCTCTACCTTATTTTTTGTCAGCACATTGTGGATGTCTTCATGAGACCATAGCCTACTACGTTTGCCTGGATAAGTAGGCGACTCTCGACTAACTATTTGCCATCCCATTTCTTGTAGCAAACCATGCATCTCCAGCTTGTTGCTGGAAAAAGTAATAAGAGATTTCTCAGAAAGAATAGTTAACCCAATCTCAGGGTAGAGCCCACAATAGTGTAGTATCTCGGTCACACGAACCCTATCCTTCCCTTTAAAAAAGCATGCAATATGTAGAAATATTTCTTTTTCTGTTTCCCTTAGTCCATCAAAACTAATGTGAAGAACATCCATGATACTTCTATCTGATGTATTCCTCAGCCTATCTATGGCACTTTTCCATTCGAGGATGCTTCTGCCACATAGAAAGGAACCTACGACAACGATAGCTAATGGAAGACCACCAGCATACTGTACTATATCGCTGCAAAGACTCAAATAATCTTCACGGTGATCGCCCTTCTTAAACGCTTTTGAACTCAAAAGTTTAAGAGCCTCGTCATGGTCTAAGGCAGTGACCTTGTATATTCCATCAACACCATGCACCTTCAACAAATGTTCATCTGTACTCGTTATGATAATTCTACTCCCTAGACCAAACCAGTCGCGACCTCCAGCCAATTTTTCTAATTGTGCTAATTGATCCACATCATCAACAACAACAAGCACCTTGATAAACGCTAACCGTTTTTTTATCATAGCAGCTCCCATATGCTCATCCTCTATGTTTCCAATTTTTTCCACCAGGGTTTTGGAGAGAAGTTTTTCTTGTAAAGAAACTAGACCGTTTTTAGAAGTTTCAGATCTAACATTGGAAAGAAAGCAGCTACGTTCATAGTGGTGACAGATTTGATCATAAACAGCTCTGGCAACTGTCGTTTTTCCAATTCCTCGCATCCCATGTATCCTTATAATGCGTACGCAGTCAGTTGTCCATCCACATATGTGATCTTGTAGTATTTTATCAATGCGAGATTCCATTCCTACCAAGCCCTCGTCGACAGTCGAAGATGCATACAATGAACGGTTTAGTACCCATGTGGCAACGGATTCTACAAGTTCTGCCTCCACCCTGAAATGAAGAAAAAAGAACATAAATATAACAGCATGGTCAAGTATGTATACAAAAGTAATTTGGAGGTTCCATACGAAAACCTATTGAAAATAGAGGGTGGACCAACTCTCATGCAAGATTTTGTTTTGGTTGGTCAAAGTTAGGCATTCGTATACCCAGAGGGAATGCCATGCAAGGTATCTTCTTCTTGTATATCATGGGGGCAACCCAATTTTGTGAAACCTTGATAATGCCATAAAATACCCTTTTCCCCTATGAGAGTATCAGAATAAAACAATATAAATAATTAATATCATGCAGGTTAAGCTACTTAGTACTATGGTCTAGTGATATTTCTCTTCATTTGTAAGTGAGAGATTTTAGGTTCAATTTTCGTCAAAGGCGAATTTGAACCATATTATTGCTAGCCCATTATGAGGCTAAAGCTCACTCCCTCCCTTAAGTGTCAATAATATCAATTAAAAAAAAAAAATTGTACATGCAGGTTAAATTCAAATCATTATGAAATTGGCTCCTGCAAATGTTCATATAAACTTTTTTTTTTAAAGGGGACAACAAGTGACAAGCTACAGTTATCCACCACTTCTGGGGGTTGGGAAGACTCACATAGGCATACCTTCATAACTAATATGTGCCAACCTCTAAAAAACTAGAAAGGAATTTGGCTAAAATGATTAGAAACCAAATTTCAATTGCTGAACCAGTCAAAATTAGATATCAACAATATATCAATCAGATATCGACAAGGAGTAATGCTAGAAAGACTAAATCTTGTAAACTAAATGACATAGAAGTTGATGATTAGATTATTACTTAAACGTTGATAAACGTGCTTATTTCCTATTGGTGACACATCATTTAGTTTACAAATTTAGTCTCCCTAGCATTACTCATCGACAAACTACTGAAAAACTGGTTCATTTCAACAATTGAAATCCAAAAATTGATAATTTAGGCCAATATCTTAAACTAAAATGGCAAATCAGGCAACACACTTACCAAAACTGCATACTATACCAAACTAAGATATTAAACTGTGTAAAATACTTACCAATGTTGTAAATCCCAGCCCTTAAGACCAGCCACCTCTCTTAAAGCAGCCCTCCACCGGTTTATGTTGTTCCTATCCTCAGAATAAACTTCTTCATGCTCTGTTACATTCCTCACGGCCAGCAAGAACCTTCCCATTTGGTGGCGCACCTCAGATGGATCCACATTGTGAAAGATTGGCACGACTTCTTGCCCCATATCTTTTCTGCATTGCATAATCTTGACAAGCTCATTCAAACACCACGATGAATTGGCATAGTTTGGTGAAAGAATGACGAGGGCAAGCCTTGACTCCTCAATTGCTTTCAGAAGTGCTGTGGAAATGGATTTTCCGTGCTCAAGCCTTTTGTCATCTTTGAAGGTCAGAATTCCTTTATTATGTAATGCAGTGTACATATGGCTAACGAAACTCTTGCGGGTGTCTTGCCCTCGGAAACTTAGAAAAACTTCGTATTTCCATTGACGGGCCGGAGAAGAAGAAGACACTGCGGCGTTATTCGTAGCAAGCTGCATCTCATCACCAATAAGTTGTCGCCGTAGCAGGCTCCATACTCACACCATCATTAAAAATTCACCTCCACAATCCAAACTGACAAACCCTGCTTCAAATTACATAAGTATTTACAAAAGCATCATGGAATTTGAACTAATTAAGTAAAACTAAGGCATGGGTTTAATTAAAAATTAGAAACTTGTGATACATTGCTGAATTCATTAAAACTTAAGCTGACTTTTCACTTCTAAAGTAATTTTCATACAATTTATGAACAAGATTTTTCTAAGAACCAAGTAAACAAGCTAAAAATGTACTAAAATATTAAAAAATACATGCTTTTTAGCAGAATTGATGAGATTCAATCAGTTCAATGAAGAAAAATACTACAAAATGAAATCATGAGATTCAATCAGTTCAATGAAGAAAAATACTCCAAAATGAAATCATGTAAAGAAAAACTAAACAATGTAGGGAAGGGTACCTGCCATTTTGAGCATGGGGAAACCTCCATGGCGGTGGGAAAAGCGGGGAGAGAGAGAGAGAGAGACCATAAAAATGTCTCCGGGAAAAAAAAACTCAAAATAGGTATAGTCAGTCTGAATCTCCTTCAACTTGAGTTAAGTTAGTCTGAATCTCCTTCAACTTGAATTAAGTTAGTTTGAATATCCTTCAACTTGAATTAAGTAAGTCTGAATGTAACAACCGTCCTGAGATTTACGGAAGAAAATGAGTATTTTTGTATTTTCATTAAGTTTGAGGAATACTTTCCTTTTAACATTATTTTTGAGCCTTAATTGGTGAGCCCAAGGGGCCCACCCCCTGTTTTGTTCCGCGGTTCCTTTCCCTTTCCCTTTTCTTTTATTTTTTTTCTTCTGAAAAGTCTATCTCTTCTCCCTCACTCTCTCTTCTCTACCTGTGCTCTCTCCTTTTCCCCCCTCTCCGTGCTCTTTTCTCCGACAAGAACACACACACACCTCCATGCCCACACCTATAGCTCTTTTCTAACCCCGTGGTTGTGTTTTGGACGTCAAATCACAAAGAAACCACCTCGGAGACATTTCCCAGTTTTCCGGTGAGCACCTCACCTTTCGAAGAAATTTCCGGCCAAATAACAATGAGTTGGCCGGCGTGCAAGATATCAATCTCTTCGTCTCGCTGAGTACTACAACTTTCCTTTTTGTTTCACCCAATTTCATTGAGTATTGAAGAAGTTATACTCATTTGAATCTTACCCAGTTTCAGGCGGACACCCGTGGCTTCCAGGCTGTTTTCCGGCCAACTCCGGCCACGATGACAAGAACCAAGGGTATATTTCGATTCCTTACCTTTGGGGCTTCAAATTGGTATATTGAATGACATGTTTTGGTTGAGTTTTGAGCTCCATCGGAGCTTGGGAATTCTCCGGCCGAAATCCGGCCTTCTTCCTCCTTGGAATCCGGCCAACCACCAAACCCAAGGCCTTTGGGCCTTTCCTGCCAAGCCCAAAACCCTGGGCAGCCCAACCCAACTTTTTTATTATTTCATTTTTGTTTTGTTAATTTAAAGGTCTTTGGGTCGTTTCCTTTAGGGCCTTCGGCCCGTTAACCCTAAACCCATTAGACCCAAACCCTTAGGCCCAAACCCGGATCCAACCCAAGTCCAAACCCTTTAACCCAATCTGGATCCAAGCCCAGACCCATTTGACCTGTTGACCCGGACCCAGACCCGGTCAACGGTTAGCGTTGACTTTGACTTTGACCTTGACCGGTCAACGTTGACTTTGACAGTTATCTTTTTGGGTTTTCGTGTGGGACCCCTCCTAGGCTAATTTCGACATCTTGAACGCGTTTCCGATGTCCGTTTTCCCAAATTCAGTCGTTTGAGTAGAGTTTGACTAAATGTACCATTTATGTGCTTAGAGGCATTTATCTGTGGCGTTTCCTTCTTCACTAGATGACGTGGCTTTTCGACGGCGAAGTACTGTGAGTGGACCCTTTCTAAAAATGCATGTTTTGATAGTATAAATGCATACATGAAAAGCATGATTTGATGATTATGTTTATGAAACGTTTTACGAGATAACATGCTTACTGAGGCTAGTTTAAATTATTACTATTTTTCCTATAACCCATGTTCTTATAGAATATTTGATGGATGGCGATATGATATTTAGAACATGTTTAGAACACCTCTTTATAGTATAGATGATGCATGACTTTATACTATGAAGTTGATTTTCAATATATGTATATTAACTGGTTTTGTACTTACCTAATGGTCATTTCCGCTACGGGATGTAGGGATAGATCCGGTCCGTCCCGGGCGACGGTTTGGTGTTGGCATAGGGCCTGGAGTGTGTTTCTTCTGGCTTTTTAGCACAGAGACGAGGAGCCGGCATGGAGCCTGAAGTGTATTTTCCTCTGACTGTCTGCTCAGAGATGGGGAGCCGGCATGGGGCCTAGAGAGTTGTATCGGACATTCACTAGTGTTTATTATTGTTGGAAATGTGCCCTAAAACCAATCATATGATGATGCTTTACGGACATTTCAAACTAATGTAGTTTAAATGTAAAGGGCAAAGATTATTGTTTGAGCCGTCTCATATAAATGTTATATGCTTAAACGATAAGTCCAAGGAATATGTGATTGGAAGAATGCGATCTAAAGAAGTTAGATTCATGAGACCATTCTTTCGTTGACACATCCTAAACGTTCCTGATCATAGGATTGTCAATTGGGCATTGACAGTCCGTTAAGATCAGTACGTGCTATGTCTTCTCTCCGGGAGAGTGACTAGTCTCGAGTCATTGGTGTGTGTGACATCAAGACAAGTACGTAGGTGCTCAATAGAGAATGAGTTCACTGAACACGATCAACGAAGAGTTCTCATATTCATGTAACATGAGAACTCATGGTTGGGATAATGCAAATTAGTCTTTTGACCTGAGGCATCACAGTTGTCTTGTGGTTAGGTCCTTAATCTTTGATTATGTCAAAGTCACTCCATCAAGAGGGTGTCCATGGCATCGTTGGGGTTAAGCCACTTAGCCATGGAGGCAAGTGAATGTGCAACAAGGGATCTCTAACCTTCAAACTGTTTGAGGGAGAATACTCTATGATATGATTAAGAATCTTTGGCCAAAGTATGAATGAGATTTAGGAATGTGTTCCAAATCACATTCAAGGTAATCATATAAGCACAAGACTCACATTGGATAGTAGACATGAATAAACTATCAAACCAAACAATGTGGTCAAGAGTATTGTATTAGAGAAAGACCGTATTGCATTTGTAATCCTAAAACTGAATAGGTTCTCCACCTCTTCTGATTAGCTTGGGTAACCATGACATGCTGCTAGGCATCAACCATGGTTTGTGGAAGCCCTAAAAGTGTATTATCACTAACGGGAGAATTGAAAGTAAGTTTCAATTCACAATCGATTTGAAAGAGTTTGAATCGCCCACTGCCTCGCTAAAAGGAACCTAATGGATCGTACACCGTGTAAGGTAGAGATTGAAGATTCAACGGAGATGAGTAAGAATAATTAAATGGTTTAATTATTTATGGCAAGGATTAATTAATATGATTATTAATCAAACGAATAAGTTCGTTAAAAGACCTCGGGATAGTTTTGGACCTTAAGGCCCAATGGGCTTCGAACGTCAAGTCCATTGACTTAAGTTGTGTGACAACTTAATGAATAATGATTCACAAAGGCCCAAATAGCCCAATGAATACCCTAAGGCCGGCCATTTAGAGAAAGAGTGGGTTTTGGACTTATTTACAAGTTTGCCACTCAAATGAATTAAGGTATAAGTGTGACTTTATAGCCAAAATTCATTAAGGGTTTTTTTGGGGAAATTGGAGAAACATAAACTCTCCTTTCTCTCTAGAAATGGCCGGCCACCCTTGAGGAAAACATCTAGCAATCTTACTTCCTCAAGGTCACTCATTTCTTCTACAATATGCCTTGGTGTGGAGACTTAGAGGTTCTCAATTTTGGGAACTTGGAGAAACCTTTTTATCCATCCAAATCCATGGATCTAAGATGCAAGGAATGAAGGCCCTCTCTTTGGGTGATTAGCCTTTGCTTATGCAAAGAGGAATCTACAAAGGTATTGATTTCTCAACTCACTTTGTTTTGAGTTGAGTCTTGGTTCACCTATCTACTAGGCTTTGAAGTTCATGGGTTAAGTTTTGTTTTTGAGTGCATATAAACATGATTCCGCCTTTTAATTGTTAATTACATGTTGTTGATGTTGCTCAAATGAACTTGTTTTTCACAAATCTTCCTTCAATTGGTATCAAGAGCCTAAGTCTAGTAGTTGGTGAATCCTTTTGGGTTTTGTAGTTCATAGTTTGTGATTTGAATGTTGTAATTGTTACAAGCTTTATTCTTGCTTCTTTGAATGTAAATTTTGTTAGAAAATTTGCCATCTCAAATGTTGTAGATGTAGTTCATATGAGCATGAATTTTGGAGCTAAAATTTGGTGCCATGTTTTTGGGGAAATTCGGCCAAATCCAAAGGGTGGATTTTTGGGTTCTTGTTTGACTTGTTAAAAGTGTTTTAAAGTGACTTTTGGAACCCCTATGTACCCTAGTATGGTTGTATGTTATTTCCCTTAAGTTTGAGTGGTTTTGGTATGTTTTTGGGTGAAGAATGTTCATGGAGCTCTTATGGGTTTTCATGGATGTTCTTCATTGTTCTTGATATGTTCTTGCCAAGAACAAAAGGTTTGGTGTTTTGATTCAAAGTTTTGATTTATTTCATAAAGTTTTTGTTTTGAAATATTTCTTATGTTTAAATATCTTAGATATTTGTTTTGAAAAATTAAAGAAATTTTAGTGGGTAGGTGTGTGTAATGATTTATTCCATTTCACACACCCCACTTACAAAACTTTGAATTTTTTTTTATATACTTTGCTTCAATGGCCGGCCACCCTACTCAATTAGGGTCCTTGTGGGGCTTTTATGCAATTACATAAATTTTTGATACTTTTGTGTATTTGTACTTTGACCCAAAAGTTTACGTTTTTACGTAAAGGTCCAAAATCACTAAAAGGACAAATTGTTTTGCTCCTTTAATGAAGTTTTAGCTTTTGTGGAAATTTTTGGGTTCTAGTTGTAATTACATGAAGTAGTGGACTTTTGTGTTTTTACAAAGTGACCCTAAAAGTTTAAGTTTTGCAAAATGGCCCAAAAGTTGAGGTCATAGCATTTTGGCCCAAATTAGGTAGAGAACAAAATTGTTTTGTCTCTTTAAATGAGAATTGGATTTTCATTTCATTTAGCTCCATTTAAATCAATTCTATGGATACAAAAACCAAATGAAAATGTTGCATTCAAGTTTAATTAGTTAAAGCGTTAATTAATTAAAGAAAGGGTGATTATGAACCTTAGCCTACGATAATTGAGCTATGTGAATGGCCGTTTCAAATTTGTTTGAACCATGGGAATGTGTAGATTAAATTTTGGTTGTAATTTGATATGATCAATTGTTGTAAAAGAGCATAAGCTCTTCTTTACTTTAAAGTAATTTGATTTGATCAATTGTTGTAAAAGAGCATAAGCTCTTATTTACTTTGAAGTACTCCTTTCTTGTTTTATTCGATATGCATGAAATTGGAGTAGTTGGGTCCAACGCCCAATAAGACAACACACCTTAATGTGATTAAACGCGTAACTAAAATCAATCACCATCCCTAGACCGAGATTCAACACAAGGCTCGTGTTGGATCTAATCAAAGGTTCATAGTCATCCTAAGGCCCTAAGGCAACTATATAGTCCATCAATGAATGCAAATCTTATGTTAGTAGTATCATATACTCTTGCTTTAAAAACCGTTTTAAAAGCTTAGTGGGAGTATTATATACAACTAAATCAATCAAATGGACCAATAGTTGTTATAGGACCAAAATTGTTTTAATTAGATTAAAATGAATATTTATGTGATGAGACCTAAAAACCCTCAACCAAACCATTATTAAGTTGATAAGCGAGAGATGCTTTGAATATCTCTTCGTGGCCTTCCACCGTGGTAGGCTCCAATCGTTTGTGACTTGTACACCGGCTTCACCCTATCATGGGGGAGTACAAAGTGCATGCTTACACTCAGGAGGAGTCTATACGCATATGATGAGGTGAGTGTAGGCAACGAGGATGGCCAATATCATATCATTGTGAGGCTATTCTTGAACCCCTTCATGAACTAAGCATGGTGGGAATAACTTAACTAAGTGCAATGGCGCCGATATCATATCATTGTGAGGCAACATTCTCTAGAGGCCAAATAAGATGGGTACTTGCAAGAGATGCAAATGAGTAAGCGTACTCTCTCATTATTATTAATGCTAACCGATATCGTATCATCGTGAGGTGGGCTTGGTAATAGTGAGCCTCCCATACCCTACTAAGAGTTTCCTCCAAAACTCTCGAATTCCGATGAGGGATATGGAATTTGCTAAAAATAGTGGGTGGTGCTATTTTGATTTAAAGACCCGGATCAAATAACTTAAAATCAATCAATTTATATTCGCTATGTATTTGTTTACCAATATATTTGCAAACGCTATCCAAAACTTGACAAAGAAAAACCGAACGCTTTAGTTTCCGAACTTGGTACCACAATCCCATAGATTGTCTTGAATGGATTGTAAAAGTACCTAAGTAGTCTCATCCTCACAATCTTCCTATTGATAATGTATCAATGGAAGAACATGTTAGATAAGTCTACCATGAAGAGGACAATGCAAACTCTAGTGCTTGTCTCTTTGTTACACGAACAAGGAACTTGAGAAGTAAGCACAAGGGCATGGACACTTTATGTGCCATGATTCTTCACTTACAAATTGTTGTATGAAGAAATGAGAGTTGCCTTGAACAACTCTTGAAAGTTTGTTATTATGTTTACAACATAATGGTTGGTTGACAAAAATAGTCCATTTATATGGACTTATGATGATTTTGAATCATTGAGTATTGAAGTGTTAAACCACTTAACGAGACGAAAACTAGGCAAGGACTTCACCTTTGTGTCCCTATCCTAATGGTTCACTAAGTTTATTGTAAACTATATAGTGAACAATAACTGCACGCTCTCCAAATCGTTTGATGTGTATAACACATTTGAAATAAGTTTCAAGAGAGATAGTGGGAGTTTAGGGACCATGACTATTGTAATCAAAAGGGAAGTCAAATGAAGAAGGCAAAATAACTCCAAGGGAACAAACTTTCTTTATGAAAGGATGGACATTGGAAGGGGTATTTGCAAGAAATGTCTTGCAAGTGTCAAGAACACACCTTTTGAAGGTGTTGTAAAATGTTCTTGAAAAGTTCATAACAGTTGGTTCTTCTACTTGAATGCATGATTCTGTATTAGTAACTATGTTTTACAATTGTTGTAAAAGTGTGCTAATAAGAAGTAGAAGATTAATGAGAGAAGAGAAAGTACTTCACATTCCAAACGTGAATCGAATATAGATCTCTGCGAAAGCGGATTGTACTTACTTCCTCATATGAACTACCAAAGAAATTGGAAAAACCAAAGATTGTCTTTACGTCCCAATTTTAAAGGAACATAATTCCGTCACAGTTGTAGAGATGGATGAATGTTTTGTTTGACAAAACATTGTTCTTTATTAATGAATGATTAGATTATGGTAATCTAATTAATTGTCTCTGTAGTAGAGATGATGTGGTAGTGTTAACTGTTTAAGAATATAACGATACTTAAAATCCAAAAGGTTGCAAGGTAGTAACTAATCCCAACTGAGTTGTGATACCTCTAAAACATAAGTTACGAGTTGGTCATAGATGGATGCTTTGGATCGTTAGATCCGGATCCAATACCTTCTTGTTAAAATTGTATAGAGGCGAAATGTTCGAATCTTTATTCTTTTGGAAAGAAGAAAGAATCACAAAGTTGTTGAGGTTAATTCACTTAGATGTTAGTGGCACTTGTCCACAACATAATACTACTCATGTTGTATGACATTTACCGAAGATCACTCTCGGTTGGACTATAGTTTATTTTGAATAAACACAAGTCCGAATACTTTGCAAAAGGTTTCAAAGAATTCAAGAAATGTAAGTAGATGAGTAAGACGTCTAAAGTATTTACCTCCTTAGATTTGATCCAAGGAAAAAGTAACACTTTAGATTAATTTCCTTGAAAAATATCAAGGAAAGCATCGTAAGATAATGAATTTCTCCATTAGGAGAAGAATGAACATAAATAAGATTTAGTTCGTTGGACATTATCAATTACCCATATATATATGATATATACTTCTAAGACATGTTAGTTGTAGAGATCCATCCATCATGGATCTTAGCAAGCTAGTGGGAGCTATAAGCGTCTTATGAGAAAAGATCAATTGTTTGATTTCTCATAAAGATGTAAATGAATCTTTTGTTTACTAGGTTTACAAAAGATTAGTGGGAGTTGATCATATTCCTAAATTTGAATATATATACATGATATATATTAATTTTGAAAATGAAAGGAATTCTTCATCGTTAAAGTTATGACTTTAAACATTCTATAATGATAGAATGTATATGGGAGACATAGTCTATATACATGGGATAGAAATCTATAATGATAGATTTCAAGATATAATTGGATTATATCAATCCCTAAAATAGACAAGAGATGCTAGGAAGTTTTTCATATGATGATAAACTTCAATTAGAATGACAATTCTAGTGAGACTAGGAAGTTGTTCTTCTCAAAGGGAATGTACCCTTTGACTCCCAAAGAAATAATGCGTAAATAGAATCCTTTATGCATACGCAGAAAGGTGATTTATGTATTTCATATTGTATGAAAACATTGATATAAGTTGTACCTAGAACGGTACAAGATGATATCAGTGCAAGCCCAGGATCAGAACCATGGCAACTGTCAAGTGAATCCTTAGGTATTTAAGAAATACTAAGGATGGATTCCTCAAGAATGAGGAAGAATTAGAGTAACGTAATGGAAGCGTAAATGTATTAGATTATGAATCTAATCCATCATAGAATATCTCTTCATTATGAATGAAGTGATAATGAGATATCTCTTTATTATGACTAAAGAGATATTTGGGTGGAAACGTTAAAAGTAAATGACTTTAATGTGTTCCATCATGTATGCAAAATATATTGCCATATAGAAGCTTACAACATTGTTGTTTGGATGGGAAAGTTCATTCATGAACTCTCCATTCGGTTCCAACCAGAAAGTGTATGACACTAATGGGGCGATAGCTCAAGCCAGGGAATCAAGGTCTCATCAAGGTCCGAACTCAAATGAGAGACTGAACCACATGATTGAGAATCATGTATAATGGTGACGTCGTTATTCTCAAGGTTGCTTCTATAGATAACATATAGATATCCATTGTTTAGGCCTACTACTCAGCCATTTATGAAATGAATTACAGAAGAGGTATCATCAATGATGACTAAGCTGATTGGCTCTAGTGCAAGTGGGAGATTGTTGGAAATGTGCCCTAAAACCAATCATATGATGATGCTTTACGGACATTTCAAACTAATGTAGTTTAAATGTAAAGGGCAAAGATTATTGTTTGAGCCATCTCATATAAATGTTATATGCTTAAACGATAAGTCCAAGGAATATGTGATTGGAAGAATGCGATCTAAAGAAGTTAGATTCATGAGACCATTCTTTCGTTGACACATCCTAAACGTTCCTAATCATAGGATTGTCAATTGGGCATTGACAGTCCGTTAAGATCAGTACGTGCTATGTCTTCTCTCCGGGAGAGTGACTAGTCTCGAGTCATTGGTGTGTGTGACATCAAGACAAGTACGTAGGTGCTCAATAGAGAATGAGTTCACTGAACACGATCAACGAAGAGTTCTCATATTCATGTCACATTAGAACTCATGGTTGGGATAATGCAAATTAGTCTTTTGACCTGAGGCATCACAGTTGTCTTGTGGTTAGGTCCTTAATCTTTGATTATGTCAAAGTCACTCCATCAGGAGGGTGTCCACGGCATCGTTGGGGTTAAGCCACTTAGCCATGGAGGCAAGTGAATGCGCAACAAGGGATCTCTAACCTTCAAACTGTTTGAGAAAGAATACTATATGATATGATTAAGAATCTTTGGCCAAAGTATGAATGAGATTTAGGAATGTGTTCCAAATCACATTCAAGGTAATCATATAAGCACAAGACTCACATTGGATAGTAGACATGAATAAACTATCAAACCAAACAATGTGGTCAAGAGTATTGTATTAGAGAAAGACCGTATTGCATTTGTAATCCTAAAACTGAATAGGTTCTCCACCTCTTCTGATTAGCTTGGGTAACCATGACATGCTGCTAGGCGTCAACCAATGTTTGTGGAAGCCCTAAAAGTGTATTATCACTAACGGGAGAATTGAAAGTAAGTTTCAATTCACAATCAATTTGAAAAAGTTTGAATCGCCTACTGCCTCGCTAAAAGGAACCTAATGGATCGTACATCGTGTAAGGTAGAGATTGAAGATTCAACGGAGATGAGTAAGAATAATTAAATGGTTTAATTATTTATGGCAAGGATTAATTAATATGATTATTAATCAAACGAATAAGTTCGTTAAAAGACCTCGGGATAGTTTTGGACCTTAAGGCCCAATGGGCTTCGAACGTCAAGTCCATTGGCTTAAGTTGTGTGACAACTTAATGAATAATGATTCACAAAGGCCCAAATAGCCCAATGAATACCCTAAGGCCGGCCATTTAGAGAAAGAGTGGGTTTTGAACTTATTTACAAGTTTGCCACTCAAATGAATTAAGGTATAAGTGTGACTTTATAGCCAAAATTCATTAAGGGTTTTTTTGGGGAAATTGGAGAAACATAAATTCTCCTTTCTCTCTAGAAATGGTCGGCCACCCTTGAGGAAAACATCTAGCAATCTTACTTCCTCAAGGTCACTCATTTCTTCTACAATATGCCTTGGTGTGGAGACTTAGAGGTTCTCAATTTTGGGAACTTGGAGAAACCTTTTCATCCATCCAAATCCATGGATCTAAGATGCAAGGAATGAAGGCCCTCTCTTTGGGTGATTAGCCTTTGCTTATGCAAAGAGGAATCTACAAAGGTATTGATTTCTCAACTCACTTTGTTTTGAGTTGAGTCTTGGTTCACCTATCTACTAGGCTTTGAAGTTCATGGGTTAAGTTTTGTTTTTGAGTGCATATAAACATGATTCCGCCTTTTAATTGTTAATTACATGTTGTTGATGTTGCTCAAATGAACTTGTTTTTCACAAATCTTCCTTCAATTATATATACAAGTTATGATTTGAGACATTGTACGACATGCTAGGTTTCGGAAAACCTATGTTTATCATTATATATGTGTTTTCATAAAACCTGGGGGTTAGTATGTTAATAACTGTTTTATTATATATATATATATATATATATATCAACTTGGTCCATTCATGTTTGTTTTGCGCCCCCTTCAGGACTTAGAATCGAGGCATACAATCCCGACGTCCAGGCACTTCCGCATTGGCATCTTTGAGTCCTCTTGGTGTATGACCCACTCCTTGGTTTCATTCAATTTTATATTATTTTCTTTTAGTGTTCTAGATTAGTGGTGTGCTCTGAACACGGTCCTTATTTGCATATTCATTATTCTTTTATATTTATAAGCCTTATATATCCCTTGTTTTCAGCATTTGCACTCAATAAATGGCTTTCGTCACTCTCGGGTGTCGGCCAGCACGTGCCTATCCTGGTATTCGAAGAATATCGGGGTCGGGGCGTGTCACTGAATCTCCTTCAACTTGAACTAAGATAGTCTGAATCTCCTTCAACTTGAACTAAGATACACTGAGAGAAAATATAAGTGAGACAGACTAGTGGATTTAACTAATAGAAAACTAGATTTTAATCCCTAAATAAGATGAAGTTTAGAAAAATGTCTTATACAAGATTAAAAATTAATTTTAGTCTCTAGACTCTATTTAATGTCAGCATATGTATTTTGTGTTTCTTTTTTTTATTTATAAATTTATGAATTTAAATTTTATGAAAATATTATAAATTTGAATTCTCATTATGGTAGGCATCTTATATAAGAAAATATTTTCGTAGAGATTTTTCGGTACACTTATGTTTTTGCATATTTTCTTATCTGCCACTAATTCATAAAAATATATTTAGGTACGAACATTTCGGTACAATGGGTTAGTATAATATGTTTAGGTACGGACATTTCGATACACTAGTTTAGTATAATATATTTAGATACAGACATTTCGGTACACTAGTTTAGTATCATATAATTAGGTACGGATTTTTTGGTACACTTATGTTTTTACATATTTTCTTATTTGTCACTAATTCATTATAATATATTTAGGTACGGGCATTTCGGTACACTAATTTAGTAAAATATATTATAATATGGATGTTTAGGTACACTAATTAGAGAAAGTTCAATAAAATTGTATAATAATAAATTTAAATTTTAATGTAATAACATTAAATAAGTTATCTATTAAATATAAACACTTTGACAAAAAAAAAATTCTATTAAATATAAAAACAAAAATATAATATGAATTTGAATTAAGTACACATTAAGGGTCTAAAATCAATAATCAATCTAACACGAGGTTTTTTTTTTTTTTTAATTTTAATCTTCTTGAAGGATTAAAATTCAAAAACCCATTTAACTAATTCTTAAAATTATGACATTATGTTGTAGTACATGTATCTTAGACCATCTCCAAAGAAGATAGTCAAATTCTAAGTGAAATGTCACATGATAAAATTTGAAGATAGATAAAAATTTCAACTGATATGCCAATCCTATGTGGATGGACATATTTATTGTGTACTGCTAATTTTGACACATCAGAAAATCTGATGTCTAATTAAATTTTTAAAGGAAAACGATAGCTTTATTCATTACTAAACTCATCAAGAGACCAAGACTAGGTTGAGTACATCCCTAATAACGTGATGGGGTTCCTCGAATCAAAATAATGAATCACGACTATATGAACTTGACTTAGAGAGGCAATGGGCCATCTTATTACAACCTCTCGGGACATACGAAATAGTACGGCCTTCAAGCCGAGCCGTCATCTCATGGATATCCCTGGCAATAAAGCTGGGACTAGAAAGATCCACATACCTATCCATACATGCCGCCACCGCTTCCATTGTATCCGTCTCCTCCGCAATATGCGTGGACCCCAGTGTCTTCGTGAGTTGCAAGCCCTCCCTAACAACAAAGAGTTCCACTTGCTTGATCGATGCAATGCTCTAGAACCTCCACACCCCCACCGCCCTGAATCCTCCTCCTTCGCCGCGGATCACCCTTCTAGGCCCACCAACTCCCTCCTTCAGTTTCATAGTGCCATCAACGTTCAGTTTAAACCACTGATCACTCAGTAATAACCATCACAGCTGCTTTGGTTCCTCCACTCGGCTAGGTTGGTTGGCCACCTGGAAACCATACAGCCAGTTGAGCGTTCTTTGAACCACCTCTAAAGGCTCGGAGAAACGCCCATCCCATACCACACCATTCCCTTCCTTCCGAGCCCAAATCATCATTAGTACTCCCTCAAAATCCACCCGTTTGTTCTCGCAAATCTGGAACAACCACTTTGTTGAATTTCTGATTCAATTGTAATGTATATTTTCATACGTAACAATGTACAAGGAAACAAGTATAAATAGGAGAAGAGATGAGAGAGGGAAGGTTACAAGCAACCAACAGAGAAACCCTAGTGACCAGATAAACCTAGGCTTAATCCAATCCTTAAAGCAAGGAAATTACACCAAATCCTAGGCTATGAAACTAATCAGTCAACTCCCTTCAATTAAGGGAAGATGACGGTTTTACACTTTGAGACAATGATGACCACCTTCATATCTAGGATTTGGTGGCTCTAGGCCATGTGACCGCAAGTCACATGGATGTATGGATGTTTACTTCAACACACTTCTTTGAAGAGACATCATGGTTTCCGACTGTCCCCATACCCACTGGTGCAGTGAACCACACCGCACGAGAGAAGCTATGGTCCCTTAGAACATGCTGTGCAATTTCTTCAGCCGCATCACACCTCGGGCACGAAGTTTCGAGCCTAACTCCCTTCATTACCAGGTTGATCCTTGTTGGGAGAGTATCTGTACAAACCCTCCACCCGCAGGATTTAACTTTTAGCTTCCAAATAGCCTGACACAGACCACCTTAAGATCCTCCATTATTCGATGAAGAAGAAGCCAATAAAACTGGAGCAACATCACTTCTTATTGCCACTTTATAAGCACTTTTGACAGAGAACATCCCCTTCTTATCATAATGCCACATCAACCTATCAGGCAGCCTTTGAAAACTAAGCGGGATCGAACAAATATAACAAACCTTTTCCTTCGCAAACAGTTGGTGCAACAAATCGATCTTCCAACACATATCCTTAGTGGAGATTAGATTCTTCACCATCTCTCCAAGAGCAAGAGGTGCCGGTGTAAGAATTTTAACGTAAGAGGTCTAGGTAACCATTATCCTTCCATACTCGAACAACTTCACCATTAACAATAGCCCACCTTAAACCATGCTCCAACATAAACATGACTGCACAATACTCTTCCATGCATAGGAAGCAATAGGTAGGGCAATGGCATTCCAAAAATTACCATCTGGGAAGTATTTCGCTCTCAAAACTCTACCAACTAGAGAGTTTAGGTTAGGAATCAACCTCCACCCTTGTTTCGCAAGGAGGCTAAGTTAAAAGCATAAAGGTCCCGAAAGCCTAACCCACCCTCATTCTTAGGTCGACATTATTGTTGGTGTGTAAATTGAAGAACTGATTTGAGGAAGATTACAAGGTTTAACTAGTGTAATGCTTCATATCACAGGCTGAGCTTATGTGATTAAATGTAATTAGTTTGTTAAGTCTCATAGGGCTTGATGAGTGACAAGTGTTCTAATCTCAGTGTAATATAGGATGGATGGCTGAGTTTGAAACTTGAGTTGTAACACTCTTTCTTCTAACGGTTATATTTGTCTTGTATGAGCTCATATGCTCAGCGTGAGAGATCAATGAAAATGGATGCATGTAATTTCATCAAACTTAAATATAAATGTGAAATTACATTAGGTTTTAAGGGTGGGGTTTAACAGAGATAGTTAACACTGTTGTCTATCTATTGAGGTGTATAGTGGAGGAAAACCTGGGATTAAATATTTCAGAATATTTGGTTCTTTGTCCTAATCCTTAGTATCAAGAACTCTAAGGCACAAACTGGAAGAGTCAAGTACAACATGAATTTTCATTGGATATAGTTAATGTGAGAAGGGGTATAGAATTCTAAATCCCATTACAATGAAGATGATTGTGTTCAGAGATGTGTTAATTGATGAAAATGGAAAATGGAATTGGGAGGAGAACAAAGTGAAAGAGATGTGTTCCTCTAATTGCTTCTGAGTGTAGAGAGATTGGAGAAATTGAAGAAGTTGAAGAAGATGAAACTATTGTGAGACAAGTAATACCTGAGGTTTCAACTAGCTCGGTATCTCCTACCTCTTATGAAGGATCTTGTTCTCAAAGTGCAGCCGTGAAGGATCTTGTTCTCAAAGTGTAGCCGTGCAAGTGTGTAAATTAGGTCTGTTGATACGCAAGCATTTGATTCAACTCCTTCAGAAATCTCAATGAGGTGTATAAACACTACAACTTATGCATGGTTAAACCTAAGAACTTTGATGATGTTGCGCAAGATGATGCTTAGAAAGTTGCAATGCAAGAGGAGTTGAACATGATTGAGAAGAACAAGACCTCGGAATTGGTAAATACGCCACTTGACAAGCCAATAATTGGAGTGAAGTGGGTGAGCAAGACTAAATTGGACCTAGATGGGTCAGTTCACAAAAATAAAGCAAGATTAGTGGCAAAGGGCTATGCACAAAAGGTTGGAGTGGACTATAATGAGACATTTGCACTTGTTGCAAGGCTAGATATAATAAGGACACTGAATGCTCTTGCTGCAAAGAACAATTGGCAGCTATTTCAACTGGATGTTAAATCTGCATTTTTGAATAGGGTGATAGCAATAGTGAAGCAACTCTGTGTACAAAGGGAAAAGAAAGTGCAGGGATGCTTATAGTATCAATCTATGTGGTTGACATCATTTACAATGGGAGTAGTGTTGAATTGATGGAAGGGTTCAAAACTGACATGATGAACAAGTATGAGATGACTAATTTGTGTTTGCTGCATCACTTAAGGGAGTTATGCAAACCGAATCAAGTATGTATCAAAAATGTTAAAGACCTCATTAAACTTACTTCAATTGGGGAACTATACCACCATTAAAAATGTAGACAATGCGATATTATAATGCAATCTTCCTAGCATTGTTCATTATGAGTACACATGTGACAATGCATAATAAGCAGCAAATGCTGCCATAGTATTATTACCACACTCACAAGCAGAAAAACTTCCATGGAAAACAACATACCAAATCTTTTACAGTCAAATATTAATTCTAATCTAGAATAATGGCACAAGCCAGCACCCCCAACCAATTTACAAATTACAATCTTTTACTCAGCATCTGCAAATCTGCAAAAGAAAGATGTAACACGAGTCAAATTTTCAGATTTATAAATAAATTGAAAAACAAAGATACAACCTGAACGACTATCAGAATAATAATGGAAAACAAAAGAAAGTACGGTTCTAAGTTTCCAGTACTCACCCAAGCTCGGAGAGCTTCAAATGTGCTTCAGCATAATCAGCAAAGAAGGCGTCTTCGTCCTAATTGAAGCAAAACCAAAGAAACCAAAAGTTGGATCAAACGATCATCACTGCAGGAGAGCATATGCATAGACTGCATATGGCAAGCCATAATTTACTCATATTAAGTAGAATACACAATTAGATACAAACCGCAGCATAAGTCTCGACAAGAGGGCGAAAGACTGGATCCTCGAGAAGAGCTTTATCTGATGGCAGCTGAAGAAGACCCTCTTTCTCTCCACTAAGAAGTTCCCTGTTTGGAAAAATGATAGTAAATCAGACTGACAATTACTACTTAACTCTTGATTACCATCTTTTCCTTATCACATTTACAAATAGTTAGTAGTATCAACATTAACATACACATAGTATAGACGGGATAATTAGATGACTTGCAGTGTAAGATTCCATTTAATCTGCAAAGTGCTATTAATTCAATAATAGTACAACTGAATGGAATGAATCTTTACTTGAAATAGGAGTTGTCGAAAATAAGAGGGTTGGTTGTCCAGGGTCCCTCGAATCCAGAACGCTCCTTGTGACACCTACCCTGCAAAAAAAAAATCCAAATACACAATCATTCAGTAGCTGTACATGTATGATATCTTAGGAATGGTGAACTCTACGCTAAATTATACGGAAAGAAGAATGTGACGTTCATGCACAGACCAAGGTGTGTCCACCAGATAATGCAACAATGTCCTTGTCACTAAGTCCCATGTGTCCAAAGACATCCCTCAGATGATCCGAACCTAGAGCACCAACACATAACGAAATAATTAGAGACATTCATCTTACAATCATACAATTGAAATTGCAAGATTTAGTAGCTATTAACCTTTGGTGGCATCTGGCAAACGACCTTCTGGTGGTGGTTCTTGTTTATCCTAAAATTAGCATACAAGGTTAGATGATTCTAGGAATAAAAACAAGTTAGACCAATGATTATTATTTGACTCTGTCCTTAAGTGTGGCCTCGTTTAGTGGTTTGGATTGGATTGCATTGGATTGGATAAGATAACTCACTCGATTAGTTAAGCTAGAACAAGAAATGGATGCCAACTCCCAAATCTTATCCAAGTAGCCATAGGTAGAAGATGAATACTTCTCCCTTCCTCACCTTCCAGTCCTACCAAGGTGGAAGGCATTCATATCTAATCCATCTTCTACCCTCAACTTTAACAAAGTTTGGGAGTTCAAATCCACTTTTTGCTACATTAAATCTAGCAAGCTATCAAATTTAATCCAACACTATCTACCAAACGAGGCTGAAGAGTGTAAACCAAATATTGCATTGTTAATGTCATTAGAGCCAAACTTCAGCAGACCAAGTTCTTAAATCCTACCAGACTTCTGATTATTATAAAGGGGTGACAAAATTAGTGACCAAATCATAGCGTATAAGTTATAATAAACCAAAATGTAATTTTTTCCATTCACAATATTGGACATTAAACAAAATAAAAAAATCATAAAGTTGCAGAGAAAAAACAAGGGTTTACTTACTGGTCTACCAGGGTGGAAAGGAATCTCAGGCCCTCCTGTAACTTCTACAGCAACAACTCCAGCCAGCTTCAATTCACAGCAAAACATACATAATTTCATTATTACGACAAAACTAATCACATTAAAAACAAGATTAGGATTCAATGATTAATTTAGCGTCGACTATTGCTTGAACAAGTAAGACGAATTCTCTTAACGGATAGATATATACCTGGTAGAAGTCTGCATATGAGAGGATCGGAAACTGCTCCTTGATCGGCTCCAAAAGCCTAACGGCGATATCAAGACCGTTGTTTGCTTCATGAGCGAGCTCCTCCGGGTGCCTGATGGTCCCAAACGGTCCTCCAGTCCTCGTGTTTATGTCAAACGTACCAGCTGAGTGCCATCTGCGCCCATCATTCAAAAGTTCCAACATTAAACACCCGCTCGATCGTTGCCAATGACAGAGAGTCAAATTTTGAGAAATATAGACAGAGGTTTCTTAGCACTTACGCCAACCGGAGGACTATCGGAGCACAGTGCTTCTCGGCGATGAGCCCTCGGAGTTTTCTCTTGCATTTTTCTACGGCCTTCTGGTACTCCTCGCTCACAGTCGGGTATTGTTTCACCATGTTGTCAATCAATCTTTTCACACCTAAAAATTATACAAAGCTAATCGTATTACTCAGCACGATTATTTTCCAAATCTCATCGCCGAACTGATCAAAATCAAATATTCTCGAATATATCTATCAAATATTAACCATATCCAGTAAATAATGATCATATAGTGATCAAATACTGAAAAACAATCTTTTACGTACCAATTGGAATTTATAAAAAAAAAATAAGCAAAAAACAACTTACAATCAAGAGTATCTAGCTAGCTAGAAAGAAGCAATTGCCACGGTTTTGAGGCTTTGAGCACAGCGCAGGTCTCAGGAGAGAGTTTCAGACACAGAACAAAATGCATATATAGGAAGCGTATTTTGGGGGGACGAAGGCTCTAGAGATCGTTTTTGTATCCGGGTGCTGAACCAACGGCCAGGATCATGCCTAGTAAGCGAGTGCTGAGGTGTTCTCTAGCGGCGGGAAAGAAAACAGAAACTTGGAATTCGTTGGGCCACGTTTTCGCATGGAGAGTGGTGTGGAGGTGGACTGAGATTTGTTCTGTTGGTCAAGGGGGTACTAGTTGTTTCGAGAGAGAACTTTTTGAGTTGTGATGCAGAGTCATGGATGATTGGATCATTTGAGCAGTTTCTAGAGACCATTACAATGTAAATTAACCATGCTATCGAGTGGAACATATAAACACAAGTGGTTTATAACTCAATTAATTAAAAAACGTTCATTTTTACATCTAAAATTTCGTGTCAAAATCTCTTTTTTCATGGTTTAATTGAGTTTCTTGTAAATTATCATCTCGTTTGTTTAAATAAATAAATAAATATATATATAAACAGATAAATATACAAAAATATTATTCTTATCATATATTTGTATCGTTATTTGAACCAGCTCTCTAATAGAGATGAGGCTCACATGCGTTAGCATGTTCTACTTTTATTAGAGAAGTGGTACAAATGATGGTACAACTAGGTGATAACTGTAACATTACTCATAAATATATGTTAAAATATAAAAGGCTTTAGCAAAGTTTAATTGTCTACGTACCAGTATTGAGTGAAGAAAATCAATTAGTATATTTCAGTAAAGTTTTAACTTGTTGGGAAAGTCGTTGTGCTTCTTTGATTTATTTTGCCTGCATTTTTTTTTTCTATACAAAGATCCTCCAATGCCCCTTGTATAATCATGCATGGATAAAATGGAGTTTTATCAAAACATTCAGGTACTATCCATTTTTAACGAAAATGACATTTTACTTTAAAAAATCACTTCTGATACTATTCATTTATAATACCTTTTTGTCTTTTTTGGATTAAAACTCAAAGTTTTCAAGTCATTTTCATTAGTTTTCCTTAGATAAAAACATGTAGAAAATCCTGATTCTATTTTTTTGTTCTTTCTTCTTTTCTATTCTTCCTGTCAATGACACGTTGGAGAGAAATTCTGAGGTCCTACACCTCGATTACGTGTACGTGTTCCACTTCGGCCTCACCTCCTCTCACACTAACTCGAATCCGATTTCCCTACCCAAAAACTTCTCATCGTTGTGGTATCCTCTTTCTTGTGGTCCTCACTTTGTTTTTAATAACACAGGTGCAATTTCTTGTAAGTGAAACTTTTGTTACAGAAAAAGCCCATCCCAAAAAGCCATGAAGCCCATTCCAAAACGCCATGAAGCCCAAGCTCATCCTAAAACTTGCAGTCAAAGCCCAGCCCAAAAAATAGTTTGCTGTTCGCGGTTAGGGTAATACCTTTTATAAACGTTAGAAAGACACGTCATAAATCGAGTGACACAGGTCACTCAACGCGCTAAAAGCCACCAAAAAACGCTCGTTCTGCCTACACGAACACAAATCCAAACCCTCAAACCTCTTCTCTCTCCTCTCTCTCTCTTTCTCTCTCTCTACTTTTCCGTGCTTTATCCTATCCAGGGTTTCCTCCCCTGCACTCCATTTCCTGCTTCTCGTCCTTCTCCTTCTCCGTCGCACACTGTGAGTCTGTAAGTCTTCGCTTCAATGCCTCTGAGCGACGTCGTTTGGATAGTTTTGGATTTGGATAGTCCCATTTCAGTGTCAATGTGCAACAATTGCGTTGTTTGGTACTGATTTTGTAATGTTTAAGGCATTGTTCGTTTCTCAGGAAAATCATGAGTGAAATCGGGAGAGAAAACGTGTCCGATATGCGCTGAGGAGATGGATTTGACGGATCAGCAGCTGAAGCCGTGCAAATGCGGTTATGAGGTCTGAACGAAACACTAACCCTGTTCACTTGCTCGTTTTGTTTATCTGTAATTTTTTTATTTTGTTGCAAATAAGAACTTGATTCTCTCTTGTTGCAATGTGTTTATTTACTGGTCGATTTTTAGTGTTAAATGTCTGGATGGATGAATGTGTAAATTTGATGACATTGTAATTCGAATAATTGGCGAAAGATTTGATTTTTCGGTTAGTTTTTCATGGTATATAACTTTGTGTTCTGATTTATGTGGCACTTCTATGTGGACTTACTCTAATTCCTTAATTGTTCACCATTTGCGGGCGCAGGTATGTGTTTGGTGTTGGCATCACATTATGGAAATGGCAGTGAATGATGGAAAGGAGGGTCGCTGTCCATTATGCCGTACACCTTATGACAAAGAAAAAATTGTTGGAGTGGCGGCAAATTGTCAAAAGTTGGTATAGTTTCAGGTTAATGGATGTTATTATGTGACAACTGATATGTTGAGGATTGAAACTGTTCCCCCTTCAACAGGTTGGTGGCTGAAATTAATGTGAAGCGGAAACAGAAGAAACCCAAGGGATCTGAAGTAAAGAAGCAGCATCTTACTGATGTTAGAGTTCTCCAACGGACCCTAGTATATGTGATTGGAATACCTCTTAACCTAGCGAGTGAAGACGTGAGTAGCTATTATCTCATTGCCCTCAAAATATTTAAGTAGGGACCTAGTGTGGACATAATCTGATGTCTTATTGAATTTGTATAATCTTGTACTTTCATAAATGTAATTCTGATATTCAATTTTTTTCTTCGGTTTTACTAGCTTCTCAAGCGAAGGGAGTATTTTGGCCAGTACGGAAGGGTTTTGAAGGTTTCTGTCTCTCGTACAGCAAATGGGGCTATCCAACAGGCTCCGAACAACAGTTGTTGTGTGTAAGTGTGCATACCACTTTCAATGTCTTAACTTCACCTGCTTGATGTGGAATGTAGTATTTAGTTAAAATTTTCTTTTGTTCTAATCAAATATTAATAGGTCATGATCCTCTTTTTTACGTAATTATTGCATTTTGGTAAAAGTTTGTTTCTTTATTCGGCATGGTGGCTGGTTATCAAGGGTATATACCTCTTTCTTTTGTAATAGTGGTTCAATTCCTTCTGCTAGGTATGTATCATACTCAAAAGAATATGAAGCAGCTCGGTGCATTCAATCAGTACACAGTTTTGTGTTAGATGGTCGATGCTTGAGGTAAGCCTGTGTTGTTATGCATTAAGATTATGGTGCTTAGATAGCAATGTTTGACTCTTTTGAGTTTTGAATTTGCAGGGCATCTTTTGGAACCACAAAGTACTGCCATGCATGGTTGAAAAGTGTGGTAATTACCTAAGTTATTTCATCTGCGTGAGTTTTTCTTTTTCTTTTTTTTGGCAAAAGGAAAACATTGTTTTATCTTCTTTGAGAATAATTCTTTTGCTGGTTCAGCCTTGCAACAATCCAGATTGTTGGTATTTGCATGATTTTGGTTCTCAGGAAGATAGTTTTACCAAGGATGAATTGCTTTCAGCCTTTGAAAGGTATATGAGAGGGCAATCCCACATATATTCTGTACATTTGAAATATCCAATAGATTTCAATGTGTGCATTATGCATTTGCCTTGTTTGCGCTTTCATGGTTCTTTTCTCAATGGTCAATATTATATTTTAACCCGAACACTATTGTTTCACAGGAGTAAGGATCACCAAAATATTGGTGTTACAAATAATTTGAATCGGCATTCAGTGAAAGGCTTACCTCCCCCAACTGCTGAGAATAGCAAAGCCGAAAGATCATCAGCTACTAATCATCCATCAAATGTAAAGAGTCTGCATGTGTTTTGGTTTGCTGATTTGTTTGTGGTAAATAGTTATATTATAGTGCCAGAATAGGTAGAAGGCTTGTGAAAAAAATGTATGATGTCATCAAGATAAGGGATCGTAAGAATCATAAAAAAGGCATGATTACGAGTTTTTAAGTTCTGGATGCTTTGTTATGCACTTCAATTATATTTAACCTTTGATATATCACATTTCAACAGATTACTGGGAATGAGGTTAAGAGTTATCGTGCAGATGGTGACCCCAGAACATCTATTCCTGCAATAGCACCTTGGTATCTAATCTCATGATCTGTGGCATCTTAACTTTGATCCTGTGTTTGACAACTAATTTTGTCTGGTTATCTCTATCAGGGTCATGCAAGTCACCCCTAGTGTGCCCCCAGCAACAAGTTCTCCAGGTTCTGAAAGGCCTCTTTATCAAAATCCTGAGAAATCAAGTGATCTTCATCCCCTTTCATCAGAAGTGGTACGCAATGAAAGTTCTACCCACAGTGTAAGATCTGAAGAAAGCCATGAGTGGCTAATGACCGAACAGGTTATCACCAAAAATGGTCAAGCAGCTATATCAAATACAACTTCTGGAGCTCTAGCAGAAAGAGCTCCGGTCAGTGTAACTTCCAACAAAAACTTATGTTGTCCATCACCAAACAATGGCATTGAGCGGGGTAGCAGAGCAACATCCACCAACTTGATCAGCAACAAAAACAGTTATTGCTCATCATCAAACTTACCAGATAAATCCATTGATAGCCAAGGCAGTAGCGTTGCTGAATTGTATAGAACATATGAACCTACCAGTGTGTTACCTGAGATGGGATTAGGGAAGTACTCGAGAGGGTGTGAAACCAATAAGCCCAGCATTCACCGCAGTCTTTCTCCAGATATTGGAGAGAGTGGCATAATCTCAAGTATTTTGACCATGGACTTGGATGCACCTGACGGTTCTTTATCTCCTCTTCACAATCTTGTAAAGTTGTTGAGTGAAACTGATAAAGAGTGCAGTCTCCTCAGAGTACAAAATTCACGAAAACTGCTTGATAAAAAGCAGTCCAGGTTCTCATTTGCTCAACAAGAGGATTCTTGTGATAATGATATATGGAACGCATCCAAGGACTACGCCTTATCTGGTTTGATGGGCAACAGGGAGTACTTTGTAGATGTAGAGTCTAATAAGTTTCTTGGGGTTCCTTCTTTTACGTCTTCTAAAGTATCAGGTTTGTATCTGTTAATATGCCTTATATATATTTCTGTATAATGATGTTTGCGCTGTCTGATGAACTCTTTTTTACCCTTCTCTTGGTTATTTGTTTTTTCATATAGAGCTGGTATAATTTGCATTTGTAGGTCATGATTTGTAATTTCTCTTAAATCTCTAGCTCAAATTTATAATTTCTTAGCATTTTCTGGAGCTTTATTCAAATACTCCTCTCCCCTCAGCATTGTTTAATATCCTCATTTTTATGTTAGAATATATGAATATTCAAATTTAATATTTTTTTCTTCCATTTCTCTGTCATATCTGACCGTCACAGAAGTTCCTCGTTCAATTGCGCCAGGATTTTCAGTGCCAAGTAGAGCACCACCTCCAGGGTTTTCTTCTCATTTGAGGCCTAGGAGGGTGGATCAGGCTTTTGACAGTTCAGGTTGGCTGGTTCTTGTGATGTTTTGTGAATTTTCTTTCCAAGATTTATTCTAACCATCCTGCTTCTGCCTTACAGTGAATCACTTGTTGCAACCATCATGTATACCAACTGGTTATTCTGGTATTAATGGGAATGTCGAGATCAATGATCCAGCAATTCTGCAAGTCAGTGAGGAACTATTGGCAAGAGGGTTGAGTAAGAGGGCAAATTTATCTCAGTTTAACTCTTCTGAGCCAGATGCTAGGCTCCATATGCTGAGACAGCAGACAACTTCTGCCCCACAGAACTTAGGATGTCAAGACCACTTCATGAATAGTTACTCTTACCTAAATGATGCACAAAGAATTACTCCACAGCAGCCAGATCAATTCCAGCCCAATCCATCTTCTTCATTTGTGCAACCCACCAGTCAACACTTCAGTGACATGCATTTATCAAATAATGATTGGGTGCAATGGAATCGGGTCAATAGTGTTGCCGATCTTGGTATATCAGATCTACTGAGAAACAATCGACTGGGATTTAACAAGCTCATTCCCTGTTATGAGAATATGCAGTCTCCAACAAGTTACTTTAGTCATCTAAACAACAGATCATTTGAAATGTGAAATTTTCGGTTGCTGGAGTTTCTCTTTCACGCTTGACTGGGGTCAAGTGTGACTGAGTGGATTACCCGGTTGATGTTAAATTTTCCCATGTGATGGAGCTTCATGTTTTGAGTTCTATCCAAAGTTAATAAGTATTGCCTAGTAAGGATCAACCTTTGTCTTTCTTTTTGTTGGAATTTGATGTTTCCCGAAAAGACAGTAATGGGTTTAAGGATTACTGCATTGACAGAATGGAACACACAGTGGGAAGGAGGTTTATGCATTCATTTGGTAGTAATAGGCCTCGAGTATCAACATTCCTGGTCTGTCTGGGTAAGTGTCAATGCAGTGAAAAGTCTCCATATAGCGAAGGCACATGTTACCTAAGCAAGGAAATGGATATGCTATCATTGGTATGAGGGAACACAGATGGGCCGCTGCAACTTCTAAAAGCAAGGTGAGTTAGATTACACGTAGATCACATATATCAAAACGTCTGTTTCAGGATTTACATTAATTAGATTTGTGATTGACAAGTGATATACGTTGCAGTGTAGACTATAGTGACTGCACTACGGGCATATGCTAAGGCTGTATATTATTTAGTATGCAAGTATGACATCTGTCCGAATATATTAGAGAAAATCATAAATACGGTCCAAATGTCTTCCCCTTATTCCTGTAAATTTGGTTTGTTTTTGTTTGCGGAGAACAAATTAAAGTTGGCATGTCCAGAAAAATGCTTCTCAACATAGTAATTAGTTATTTGTCTTGTTTTGTTTTTGCAGGCAGAGTTGAGGGCACTGATATAAACAAGGCCGTCCGTCTTTGTTTACTCAACTCGGTGGATGAATCTGATGTTACCCAATATCGACCTTTGTTAAAGATTGATTACTTTCGCTAGTGAGCAAGTGTATAATTATGACAAATGAATGCTGAACTGAAAGTTGTGTTGGTGGTACTGATTTGGCTGAATGTTATGGCATATACTATCAGACCGTTAAGTAGGGGAGAACCTTGGCTATCCCCGAGCGTGTACACCCGATTCCGGTTAAGATGTTCTGTATTAAGTAAAGTACTCTAGAAGTATCATTTGTGTGCATCTTTGTTTTCATTTTTTCTCCTGTTTTTCTAATCTCTCATCCATTTCTAACCCTTGAACTTTTATTTTATTCTAATCTCTCATCCACGTCGTAATTTTATTGCTGGTTATAGATGACAAGTAAGAATTGACGATGAAAAGGTTAATTTACTCTTGAATTTGATATAATAGTGAACGGAATCTAATAGTAAGGGGTTAATTGGCTGATTTCAAATAGTTCAAGAGGTTAATTTATCAAAAAAATAATTTTAATGGTCAATTTAACTAAAGTAGTGATTCAGGGGGTCAAACGGTATTTTACTCTTTGTAGTTCGTGTAGGCCTCGTTCCTTTTATTTTTTGGAATTTTAACGAAAAGACCGCGGTACTGTTTATTTTAACGAAAAATCATATTTTTACACTAAAAAGTCAAACTTGGTACTATTCACTTTACCTTTTATTTTGTCCTTGTCGTTAAAATTTAAAATTTTCAATCTCTTTTCATTAGTTTATTTATTTATTTATTTATTTTATTTTTTATAGGCATTTTGCTTGCACGCATCTAATTTAGGTTTGCTTTTATAGGTTGGTACAAAAGCATTTGCCTTTCTAGGTCATCGGGGACAATTATTTTACTAATTAATAACTAATACTATATATATATATATATTATATATTATATATATTTGTTTGTAAATGAAATTAGAAGAGGTTAGAAAAATCTTCTATGAACATTACAAAAGGCAGAAGAGGAATTTTCAAAAGGAAGAAACTGCTTTAACATCAACAACTAACTCGGTGTCTTGGGTGGGATAGAAAAATGAAAGCATAAAACAAAAAGCAGTATGTCATCTTTGACTAAAGGAAGTTGAATCGAGGATCGGAGGATGGTACGATCCCTTGGGCACCCTACATGAACGAAGATTCAACGTGCACCTAGCCTCATGTAACTACGTGTTTAGTGTTTCATCTTTTGCTAACATAAGATTGTTGTTTAGTGTTTCATCTTTTGCTAACATAAGATTTGTCTGGATGCCCAGTGAAACATGAGCACCTCAGACATAGTGTTAAAGAAATTAAACTCGGAATGCCCGATTTTTATATATAGGTATTACATCCACCTGGATCATTACAAAAGATCTCAACAACTTTAAAATTCACTATTGCCTTAGCATGATCGAGGCGAAAATAATTGTCTATACGGACAAAATTCACTATTGCCTTAGCATGATCGAAGTGAAAATGATTGTCCATACACACAAAATTCACTATTGCCTTAGCATGATCGAAGTGAAAATGATTGTCCATAGAGGCAAAATTCACTATTACCTTAGCATGATCGAGTTGAAAATAATTGTCTATACGGACAAAACTCACTATTGCCTTAACATGATAGAAGTGAAAATGATTGTCCATACAACAAAATTCACTATTTCCTTAACGCGATGCGATTTCAAACTATGATCTCACACAGTACCATTAAAATTTAAACTCAAATAAGCTTTAGATTTGATACAAAAATCAGATTTTTATCCACCAAATGAACCCTAGTGGAAAACCCAAGCCTTGATAACGGAGAATTAAGCATATAGCCATGGAAGCTATCTTGAAACCCTCGAAGCCCCCACCTCTCGAAGGTCCAAAGGAGGTCCTCATGAACCGCCACTCCAATAATTCAAACGGTCACTCAGAAGGGTCGGCGTGCAGTAAAAACTCGCCATTGGGGACTTAATATGTTTGCCTTTAAAAAGTGAAGCTCTTGCAGATCCGCAGAAGAAGAATGATCAGCGGGTATAAATCTCAGTCATCATTCTTTCTGGGAGGTATATAAACCCACAGTAAAAATAAAAGGATAAATTGCGGTTTGACCTTAAACTATCACCAGTTGAAATTGATCTCCTAACTTGTTTTTTTTGGTAAATTAGCCTCTTGAACTATTTATAATCAGCCAATTAACTCCTTATTGTTAGATTGCAGAATCAATTCCGTCAAATTCAAAAGCAAATTAGTCATTTCATCATCAATTGTTACTTGTCAATTATAACCACTAATAAAATTTTGACACATGGACACAAAATAATTCAAAAACATATAGCATGATGAGAAAACATAAAATAAAAAATAAAAAAACCAAACGTTTACATAACAGATCATTTCAAATTGTCATTACATATTATTTTGTTCTCAAATGTCGGAAGTTTATTGATGTTTATAGTTAACAAGTAAAGATTAATGAAGAAAATATTAATTTTCTTTTAAATTTGACCAAATAATAGATGGAATCTACCGAGCTGATTTTAAATAGTTTAAGAAATTAATTTACTAAAAAAAATTCAGATGGTCAATTTTAACTAAAATAATAGTTCAAATGGTCAAATCGTAGTTTACCTAAAATAAAATGCTAGGTTGGTAATGGTATATAGGCTGCTCTGACGGTGACTCGTCAATGTTTTCATCCCACTCAAGATTCGATCGCATACAGTTGAGGACTGAGGCGGTGCAGAAAAAATGCAGATGGATGATGACGTGTCGCGTGTTCTGGGTTTGCATTATTGTGAAAGGAAACCTAGGAGGAACCCAGGTCTATTTGCATGCAAGCCCTAGTGATAGACCTTCTGGACTGGACCACTCTACTCATCTCTTCTTCTGCTGCTGCCACACCACCATCTACAAACAAACATATATAAACATATGAGAAGACGTCCCCTCTTCTACTAAGATCAACGGATCAAATAATTGGGACCTTTAAAATTTTATCTAATGATCAAAAATTATTATAGCGTTTAAAGAGTCAAAGTAAGTTGACCGTTAGATGAAATTTCAAAAATCTGAATCACTTGATCCGATAATCTTGATAAAAGAGATCCGGAGAACGTACTAGATGTAGAGGTTTAGGGTTTAGAGATTGAGTGGTGAAAGTACTTGTTTGTACTACTACTGCATGTACGCACTCTGTTTCAAATAGTAGCAAGGACGTAAGTACAGTGTGTTAATGCATTCCAGACGTCCCAGCACTTGGGTTTTCTGGTGTTGTGCCTCTGTCGGTGTGTGACGTTGTTTCACGACCGGAAAGAAAAGTAACGCTACACTAAACAAATTATGTGGCGATTTGGGCTAATTATTTGTTTAGCTCTCGTTCCTTAATTTCTAGAAAGTGATTTCAAATTATGAATTGGATTTTTGAACATTACCCACTGAAAAATATTAAATTTAAAAAAAAATCTCGTGTTAGGTTATGTATTGTACATAAGATTTTCATCTTATACGGCTTCTCATTATGTGAAAATTTTAAAAAGATTGAACATTAGCCCTTAATTGTACATGAGATTTTCACCTCATACGACTTTTCATTTAATTTTTTGAAGTCACTGGATCATTTTCTTTGTTTGAAAATCTCTTATTGTTTGGCTAGACTATCTTAGAATCTAAAATGCGTATTATTAGATTGTAAATCTGAAAAAGTTAATTATTTTCAAAATGTTCCGATTCAGGGTATCCAGACAAGCACTTAATATCGTGATGTAATTTAGACTGTTGAGTAATGATTCAATGTTGTGCACAAGCCATGCATGTGCATAAATAGTGCCACTGGAAAGTAAAATACTCCCAACCGCCCATGCAGTAAATGCAAAGAGTGCCCTTCGCGTGCAGGGCAGTGCACAGAGAGGTAGCTTACTAGGCAACACTTTTTGTTTTTTTTTTTTTTAATGAGATGTGTTATCCACACATCTATTTTTATTTCTCACGCACCTCTTATTAATTGATGTATTTTTATTCTTATTCAATTCATCTGATTTGACAGCTGAAAATTAAAAAGGTGTGTGAGAGAAGTAAAATAGGGTGTATGAATATCACACCCCTTTTTTTACAAGAATTATTTTTTGAGAATCTTAATGAAATACTTTTAGTACTGTTTACTTTAAATTTTAAGGAAAGCTAATAAAAATGACTTGAAAATTTTGTGTTTTAACAATAAGAACAAAATCAAGGGTAAAGTGAATAGTACCAAGTTTGACTTTTTAATGTAAAAATGTGATTTTTCATTAAAGTGAACAGTACCGCAAGTTTTTCGTTAAAACTCCCTAAATTTTAAGGACATTTTAATCTTAAAAAGTTACTTCTGATACTATTTACTTACACCTTTATTTTATCTTTGTGATTAAAACTAAAGTTTTTGAAAACTTTTTGTTAGTTTTTTTTTATTTTATTATTATGAATTATTGTTTTCATAAGGCAATAGTTATTGAGAAAAATTCCTTAATTATTAAGAATGATTACATCTTTATGCAGATTTTTAGTGGTTATTGAGAAAAAGTTCTCTATATATTTTTGGATTCGTTTCAGTATTTCCTATTTTCTATCTGTATCATCACATTACTATATTTCTTAACGAATTAAATCAAGTAATTATTGTCTAAAGTTCTTCGATATGCCATGTAACTATTTCATTACCAAAGTTTTTTTATCTTGTTTTGCATCCACGTCTATGCGATTTTAGACACACATAAAATCCCCTCCTCCACTCCTGATTTTTTATCTTCACCAGAAAATGATAGACAAAACAAAAGGGATGAGACGAGTTCATTGAGAAGGGCACTAGCTAGCCAGCTAGGGTTACTTTGATGAGTTGTTGTTCAAGATCTAGCTAGCAAATAGCTGCAGTGACATCAATGAACAGTACTGAATTAGGAGTTTGGTTGATTACCCGATGTGGAAACTAATCATATGTATCCAACACGATCCTTTCCGGATTGTTTTGGTAAAGATCTTGAAGATCTGTAAATTGTGTCAGCTTATCGTATATTGTGCAATCAGTTTTTATTAGGTTTTTTTTGTATTTAATTTTAAATAAAAATATTTAAAATAATTTTTTACTGCACAATATACAATGAACGGATATGATTTACGAATTCAGGTATTCCTGGAATTCTCATAAAGATGATTTAATGAGAATTCGGATTCCATATATATATATATATATATGCAACACAACAAATTCTATAAACATAAAATCTAATATAATATAATACGTAAATAAAAAAGCGACAGCAAATTGTTGAGAATGAATATCACATCGATGGAAAAAATGACCTTACTTGGGCTTATATACAAGTTGGGCTACTACTCATATTACCAATTGATTTTATGGTAAAACCTCAACTTTCTTCATGGTATCAGAACAGATTGTTCCACGTGTGAAGTCTAACAGGTCACACGAGCTCCACTTCACCTTTTTATGTTATCTATATGTTAGGGTTGAAAATTCTCCACATATGAGGAAGCGTGTTAAGAATGAATATCACATTATGAAGAATCGATCTTGCATAAATTTATAAGTGAATTAGATAACTTCTTTAATTAATTTTATAATATAACCTCAATTTCTTCACAAATCGCGAGGTGATGCATTTTGGATATAAATAGAAAACCTTGTATGACATGCATTCGCGCACAGACACAGCTGTGAAGTCCCAAATAAAGCTATCTATCACACAACATCAGGTTCAGTCCATAGCCCACAGCCTATCCTTTCCTGGTCCGCCCTTTATATAACCCCCTACAAGTTTGCAGTCTGGAGAGGAAACAGAGAGATCTTAAAAGTGACTGAGGAAAAGATATTTGTATAAAAGGGTAACAATTTTGGCACTTCCACTTAAGACAAGATTTTGATGCTATGTATCAAATACTTCTCGCATTTTTTTGTTTATTTCTTTCTTTACATGTTGTCTAGTGATATTTTTTTTTTAATTATAATTAATAAGTTTTAGATTTAATTATCAATAAAGATAAATTTAAAGCATATTATTTTTAGTCTACTGTGAGACTAAATTAACATTTTTGGCTAATTTGGGTCCTTGGCCCAATCCTAGTGGTGTTGCTGGAACATAGATCCTCTTCGGATCTAAAAAAAGGGAGCATAAGGATTAAATGATCCGGACTGTTGAAATTTAATCAAACAGTTACAATTATTATAACTTGTAGATGGGCTCCCTGTTTGTAGTCGTTTGATTAAATTTCAATGGTTCGGATTATTTGATCCTTAGGCTCCCTTTTTTTAGATCCGGCAACGATCTGTGTTCGTGCTAATGAAGTAGCCAATTTATTGATAGAGTATGACTACTCAAGGATCAGTTTCTGATGTGGCCAAGTCTTAATCAAAGTAAGACTGTTCGAGGATCAAAATTGATTTCTGATATGATTGGGATTAATTGTTTAAGGATCAAGGTTTATCAACAGAGTATGAATTGATCGCATAATGAGACCATGTTCAGAATCCTAGTGCAATGGAAGAGGCAGAGACAACGTGGTGATAGAGTTTCGTCTCAGAATAATTCTGAGTATATTCAAAGAATTGAACTATTATCAGAATTTTACAAGTTAGCAGACTTGTCCTTCATGAACCTCACCCTTGTAAATATAAGTGATTCTGCAATGTACAGAGCCATTTCAACTCAACACACAAACAACTCAAACGCTCTGCGTAAAACCTTATGTCAACCCTGAGAAAAATACAAATTATCCTAACCCCTCTATCATCACATATTCAATTCGGTTGAAGATCACTGGGTTAGCAAATCGACAAGATATTAAGTTCGGCTAAACATTACTGGAGTCATAGAACTAGTTGGCCTTGAAGTACCTTCAGTTTGGTTAAACAAAACTACTTCTAGTTCGGTTGGTTATCTATCTAAGTCTCAGCCGGCGAAGAGTCTCTAAAAGAGGTCACTTCATTATGTTCCTAACGACGTGAGGTATTCTATTATTTGTTTTTCACAAGTATATTTCAGAATTAGGCATTTAGACGGCCGGACAAAATTCACGGTAAAGACACTCATCTCCTTTGAGTATCTTTGTTCTTTTAACTTGATATTGATTCGGCGCACTTATATTTTTACGAATATAGTGAAAGCTGCTGAACATGGTGCAAAAAATCCTGAACATTGTAGTGATTTAAGTAACCTTATCTTCAAGTTCTATAACCCTAGGCTAAGAGCGTTCCTAGAATGTAGCCGCTAAGTAAAGAAATCAACAGCGAGTTCGACATCGCACCGTCCCATCTATAAAATTATTGACTCTTTTAATAATTTTTCTACACTCAACAATGAGAGTGCCACATTCTATAAAATGCGTTTTCATTTTTTTTTGTTGGTGAATTATATTGTATTAATAAATATAATGGGCAGGTACGTCGAAGGGCTGGGTGCCTTCAGACTACTGGTCTCTTGGGGGAATCTGAATCGGATTAGGATTTTCTCACGTTCTTTTTCTATTCCCTTTCATCCCTTTTTTTAACATTCTTTATTTTTTCTTTTTCTTTTTATAAAAAAAATAATATAAGATGTTAATGTGGCTTAACCGTGATCGTTTAAATAAAAGGAGAATGAATGAGAAAGAAAAAAAAAAAAAAGAGAATCCTACTCTATCTATCATGAACGGTTTTTAACAGTTTTACTATTTGAGACGTATAAAGAACAACAGGCTTTTCATACTGCTCATTTATCACAAGCACAAAGTAATTACTCAAAATAATTACGCCATATTATTATTTTTAATTTTTTTGCATTTTTACGGACTGGACGAGGATCCTATCTATCCTTCGATACTTTTGCACTGCGGGCAGATTTGTACCTGCTCCCTAAAGCCGAGAATGACGACACTTTTTACTTTAACTTTGAAACCCCAGCACAGGAAAACAACATGCATAACATGAATTCATTGATGTGTGTCATATCAATAACATTTTTGTATTATTGGTATGAAATATTATTGTGACGGTAAATTTGTTATATGTAATATATTTTTTCAGCATAGATTGGAGCAAACCCAAGTTGTCTACCTCATTTAGCAGCATAAACAATATGAACAAACAAAAATTCTCCCTCCATATCATCATAAGAAGAGATTCTCACTATGTGACAACTATTTAATTGCACTCGATTTAAATACATGATAATTATCTATGTTAATAGTAGTAATATCAAGGTTTTAAAAGATATTAGGCGTTAGTTGGACGACGGGCAGGGACCTAGCGCCTAGGCGATTTAAATAAGTTTATTTTATATCGTATAAAAAAAATGTCTTCTTATACCTAAAAAAATACATAATGGTATTGGAATACATGAATTACAAAAAAAAAAAAAAAAAAAAAAAAAAAAAAAAGACATAGATTATGAAGTGTTAGAACATATTGAAAACATGGTAAACAAGCTTGTAATAACTGTTCATCCAAATATTCAACGAGTCTCTTACATTTATTTTTTTAAAAATGAAAATGAAAGTTATCAATTTTCTGTCTAAGTGAGAGTCGTGATCTAGGTGGATCTAAGCGGGCTAGACGGACGCCTAAGCAAATCTAGACGCCCTGTATCAAATTTCGAACGCCTAGAAATTAAGGAAAATGACCAGCTACATAGCACCTAGTTGGCACTATGCGGGAATTTTTAAAATAGTGACTAATACTATATATTGATTGCAACTTGCGAATGAGTTTCTCATTGGAAACTCATTCCCGAGTGTGAATCTCTTTCCTTTATTTTCAATTAGTTTAATATAAAATTTATATTTGAATTTTAATGTTATTAAACCCATGTACCGATATATTTTTTTTACAAGTGATAATCTATGCTTAACATTCTATATATTGCGGGAAAAAATAGAAGCCCCCAATGTGGGATATCAGAAAAATATATAAAGGATTCGCATTCATGCTAAAGTTACTACAAAGTACAAACGCTTCATAAGTAAAACAAGATTTGAAATTGAACTATTGTAAGCTGCCGAAAGCACATTTTTGCTATACCCTCAACTGAAGCATGGAGAACAATGCGACCGCAAATCTATGATCGTCGCCGGCCTAAGGCAAAGCTACCGCAGTTTTTCCATGCCACAAGACTGCGATGCTCGATTTCATAAGCTTTATGCAATGCAAGCAAAATAAAGTTGATAACTAAACTTCTTTTGATCTTTCCTTGTTACTTTGCCCCCAAAATAGTCCGAGACAACATTCTCCCCTGAAATACTATCCGATCGTGAACTGCTTCTGGTTTTCAGCCTCTGCAATAAAAATGGGGGGTGTTGGTGGTGAATGCGGTGAAAAATGGTGGCGGAGAATCGCCTTGTTAGGGAAATGAAGTTGAGTGACAGCTGATGACGATGAAGTGGCTGTTGAAGAAGGGAATCCTGATGATGCTGCAGCAGAGAAGAGTGGCATGGAAGTTGGCCGGCCATTCAGGTCTTGGAGTTGCCAAGCCCGACTGGGAAATGAGTTAACATCCATACTCTTCTCCATAGCTCTTTCCTGAAAACAACGAAGACATTGAATTGTTAACAGACACAGTAAAACGAGAATTGTCAGTAAATGGCATTAAACAGGAAATAAATCCTCTTTGCATTCAAAGAATTTGTTCCCATTAGCGTAGGGAAGCTTGCGATGCTTCTTCCACAAGTAGAAAGGACCAATAATGTTTAACAACAGAAAGAAATGTAAACCCGAATAGTAAAATTTCACTGAAGATTTAACATAAAAGTTTAACTGCAACAAGTTACATAATCAAATGAAATATTGCAAAGGTCGACAAGAACTAAGGTTTTGTTTCTGATCTGAAAAAAAAAAAAAAAATTATAATGACTAGAAGTGACGGTAAATTACCATATGAATGGGAAGGAAACTGGAATTCATGTTGCTCATTATAGGAGGCACCTCAGACGCCACCATTGAGCCATGAGAAAGTTGAGACCTCATAGGTGCTGGAACAGAGTTCACATTCTGTAAAAAGAACAACGAACTGCTAAAAACGGAGTAGCTTAAGTTGCATTGTAGACATAGATACAAGATCAAGAATTTCTACACAATAGAAAGGCAAATTGAACTGATAGGGGTAATCATAATTTGATCGCAACATTACCCTTGCTCTTGTGTGAATAGGAATGCCGTCACAGCCTAGCTGAAAAGGAAAGCTGCTCAAATTGATGTTCTCCTTTTGGATTTCAGAAACGAAAGGGGGAGCAATTCCCAAGTTCAGATCAAGATTTTGGTGGCTGCCTGCACCAAGAAAATTTTAGATACATGATTTACTGACAAAAATAAAAGAACAGTTTGATTTGGTATCTTTTGAATTGATGTTCTCTACCAACAATAATACCCTTGTTATTGGCCTCAGACATTAACTCCCCATCATATGAGCTTGAATCGAAGTTGGTAACTGCTTCTCTTCCATTGCACTCAATGGCAGCCTTGTCATATGCCCTGGTTTCAAAGAGCAACACTATACTGACTTAAATGAATCCCAAGGTCAGTAAGATCTCAAAGTTTAGATATCGAGTAAAATGCTGCCTATATAATATCGTAAAGACCTTGCAGCTTCAATCTCGCTATCAAATAGGCCAAGGTATATATACCTGCAGGCAACCAATGAAATACCGTACCCAATGAAAAACAATTTATCAACACATACAAACATACATGAAACCAAGCCCCAACTATTTATTCGTCCTTGATGAACACAATTCTTTGTGTCATTCCCTTGTTCATGTAGCATAATCACTTAAGACCACATACATAAAGGAATACTAAACATCCATGTTACGAAATTTAAGGGACAAACTGATACTTCAAATAAGAACAGTGAAAAAGAACGGCTTCTTACTTCTTGCCCAGAAACTGGCCCATACGAGCTTCCCAGCGGCCACATTTGTGCAATGTGACTCCCCTGAATTTCGAGCTTCCTCTAGAGAACCCGGTACTCTGGCGGCGCAGGATATGCACAAATTGTTCCTTTGTAAAATTACTCATCTGCATTACAATCGAAATCAAAACCCAAATCGAAAGAAATGAAACAAACAAGTAAAAACCTGCACATTACATACATAATACACTCCAAAATCAAACCTGCTTAATATCATCCTCATAATCACTGACACTGAAGTTAATATCAGCCTCAGTTCCACGGAATTTGATCGCAGCTCGATCATACGCCCTAACATCATTTTACCACAAACCCAAAATTACCCAAACAAGTTACTAATTGGAACCAAATTTTACATTGAAATATTTACTGTTAACCCTTCTCAGTTTCTTAGTTCTTACCTAGCAGCAGAATGGGCAGTGTCAAATCCTCCTAAAAAATTTCAAAAATTTAAAAATAATCAGCCAAAAAAAATAAATAAAATAAAGACGATTAAATGGTGGGTTTTGAATCATTTTTCTTACCCAAGTACACTTGTTTCCCGCAATCCCTACAAAAATAGAAAGCCAGAGAGGTCAAATTCAGTGCAGAAACAGAGTATCCAAACAGAGTAATAGGACAACATTATCACCGTAACCAAACACTAACCAAATATGGGATTCCCATCTCCCGGTTCTTCGATAAAACGTAACGCCCCGATACTGCGAGCTTCGGGACCGGGGCCCTCTCCGGCTCTTCTTCACTTGCTGCGGTGGCGCAATCCTCTGCTCCGCAGGAGCATAGTAAATCGGCTCCAATCTGGAACCGGACGATCGTCCCAGCCACTGCTTCTTAGAAGCCGACGACGACGAAGAAGAGCGTACGGATTGGGCGAGCGGAAAGAGCTGGATAGTCCTCCGACCGTCGTAGTGATTAGCGGATACGTCGTCGTTCGGAGCAAGGAAGTTGAGAGTAGCGGAGTTGTCGTCGTCTTCGCCGGCGAGGGTGAGGTTGGAGGAGGAGTTGAAGCTTTCGGAGCTTTCGATAGGGGTGGTGGAGAGAAGCTTGTGGTGGGAATCGGGAACGACGTCGTGGGAGACGAACCCGAGGTTGAGATCTAGCATTGCTGGTGGTTTTGGATTGGGACGTTAATTCAGAAGGCGGTGGAGGAGAAGGAGGTGGGGTGGGGAAAATGAGGGAGGAGGAGAAGGAGCAGGAGAAGGGAGGGAGTCATGGAGCTGCTTTGTTTTGAACGTGTTTGATGAAAGTAGGGAGAGAGAATTAGAGGAGGAGATTGTGGAAGAGGCGCCGGCGGGGGAGGATCATATGGAGGCGGAGGCCGGCTGCGTGATTGAGCGAGTCACTGAGTATCTCTCTTTCATTCATGCACACCCACAAGAAACAGAGGAGTTAATAAAGAAGCTGTTAGAGAGAGAGAGGAGAGTGGGAGATTAGATTGACTGCTTGGTGATGAAGGAAAGAACAAAGAGGAGACTCACGAGTAATTTTTCATTGTAATCGGAACATCGATGCACCATGTGATATAAATAGTAGAAAATTTTATTTTTATAAGTTATTATTTTTTTACACACATATTCTACTATTTATATAATAATATATCATGTACTATCTTGTGTACTAGTCTATTTTTTCTCCTTTTTATTTTTGGCGCGTGTAGCTTTGCTTCTTTCACAATGCACAACACTTTGGCCTTTGGGTAAACTTATGAAACAAGGTTAATGAAGCGTGGGTTCCACGTACATCAACGGTTAAAAATAGATTACATAATGTTTAAATGGCTGACTACATCACAGCTCAAACCGAAAATGGTGTTTTGTAAAGAAACATTGCCGTTAAGTTACTAGAATTGCTAAAAAGAATGCTACAATCAATCGTTCATTCACTTTTAACTGCTAATATAATTTACCTAATATACTTTAGGATTAAGAATTCTACGAACGTTGGAACGATTCACCGAATTGTGCTACGAAATGCAAGTACAAGATACTTGATTAGAGAACAATCATTAACTTGTAATTATTCAAGAGAACATTCACTAATAAGGATGAATGTTGTATTTATTCAAAGAGGAGTGGGAACGGTTGTCACATCTTATTTATGTGGGCGTGAATTAGACGTCCCTTTCATTTGTCACATCTTATTTATATATATATATATATATAAAAGAAGCTTTTAAGAGAATGGATCTTTGTTTTAAAAAATAAATAAATAAGTACATCCTTTCTGACCGTTATATTTGATTTTAATGAAATCTTATGGTTGAAATTATATGGTCTATGATTTAATATCAACCATAAAATTTCATTAAAGTCAAATCTAACAATCAAGAGGGGTATTCTTTTTTTTTTTTTTGAAAAATAAAATCTCTTCTCTTAAAAGGCCTGTATATATACATATATATATATATAACAATAATTAAAAACTCCATCCTTATTTGTTGGGACTAATTGGGGGAGGGCACATCTTACGCATTTTTCTTTTTAGTCGATGTTATCTACATTTTTTTTTTTATATCTTTTGCATACATTTTTAATTTTTTATTGTCAAATCAAATGAATTAAAGAATATCAAATGATAAAAATTAACGAATAATTTGTGAAAGATAAAAAAAATGAGTGGATCGCACATTTCTTCTTTTTTCTTTCTTTTTTATGTTTGCTTGTGAAGTGACAACATATGAGTGAATCAAACATAGGAATTAGGTAGGACAGGTAAGATATTGAATAAACCCATCAGACCAAGCAAAGCATGTTAAGATAAAATGATTTTGCCCCTATTTACCAACCACACCAAAGATCAATTAACTATATTTTGTCTAAATGCGGATATGCCGTCTATAAATTTGTAAATATTATTAATAATATCGAATGGATTGAGTTATAAACTCCTTAGAAGTATTAACCTTAACGGACCTTAATTGTACTCAAAATGAACGGTGTAAACATAATACATAAATGTAGCATATTCTTGCTAGTCGATATGTTATGCATTTTCAAGTTGGGTAGGGCAGTATTTATACACGTTCTCGAAGTAACTAAAATTGCTTGAAGCCATAACTAGTAGACCAAGCCATATGATATGGGACCAACCGACAACTCTTAATTTAAAGTACATCAACATCCCTTATGATTAAAATTGTTGTTGGGTAAAATTGGAAAAATGAGTACATAATTGGAATTTTATAAAAGAGGCTAACTAAGTGACACACTCTGATCCGGAATGTCCACTAGGACTCCGAATCGAGGTCATTTGGTTGACACCTGAAATGTGACGAAGCCATAAAGTGTGATAATGTATAAAATGTGAATAAATTAAAATCTAAAAGTGCTTAAGTACACGAGTGCGCGATGAGCGGGTCTAGACCCATTTCACTCGTGATACAGAGCATATGTATAGTACAGTAAGGTAAAATAATGATTATACCATCATAAGAAGACATATGTACTGAAAAGTGCCACGAATCATCGTCGATACGAAACTCCGTTGCTAGAACCTGGAGGGGTGCAAAAATGAAAAATGTGAGTGAGTGAAACAAAACTTTTCAAACCAATTTCAATTACCAAAGGCAGTAGCCCCTCGTCGTAACACTTGTATAATGTCCCAAAAATAACAGGCGTGACTATAACTTAAAACCATAACCAAAATAACAGTCTCACAATTATGCCGTGTCAAATATCTCAACAAGAATAAGTAACCCAGGTGAAATAAATCAATATGAAATGGTATGTTAACCAGATCCACCTATTGTGGTTTGTATTGCTGAACCAATAGCTCATCAACATGTTAGCCAGAGTCACATCACGTGACCTGTACAGCTGAATCAATATCTCATCAACATGCTAGCCGGACTCACCTCACATTACTTGTACGGCTAAATCAATAGCTCATTAACTAATACTAGCACATAAGTCGGAGTCACCTATAGTGACATGTACGACTTATTCATGTCTCATCAATCAATGCTAGCACATAAATTGAAGTCACCTATAATGACATGTACAACTGAATCAATAGCTCATCAATAATCACTGCACACGAGTCGGAACCACCTCTAGTGGTCTGTATGATAGGACTGAGTGTAAATAAGTACGCTTAAGTGCTACGATCATGTGAAGACTGTGCGAATAATCGCGGGTCACCTATGAGTCGGAACCACCTATAGTGGTCTGTACGACAGGCCTGTGCACCTACCTTGAATTCAAGGTGAGCGTAAGGTGCGGGAGGTGAACATCACGTGAAGGATTGTGCCCTGACCACAGGTGAGAGTACTAACATCGGGGTGCAGGGTTATGAGCTCTAAATGCATCTAATACCACATGTACGACTCATAGGCAACCTGTACGATAGTGTCGGAGTTGCCTATTATTACAACATGTACGACAATATTGGAGTTGCCTAAAACATAAATGTAGCCATGTCATAACCCCATCATTTCAAATAAAATGTAATCATAACCATGCATCTCACATTTCACAACATATACTCATCTGAACTTACCTGTGCGTTCTGTGTTCACCTTTGCACTTCAAAGCATTCACAATAATTATGTGCCGGTAATATACATATGGATATGCCATGATGCAATCTAAAACTCACCCATACCATAGCATTTTCAAGTATATATAAATATATACAATATGGCGTAAAATGCACAATCTATAACGCTCTACTCTTGAACTATTTATTTTCGGAATAATTATCGGAGATAAGCCCAACTAGACACTAATTTAATTAACCATCAATACTTACGTTTCCTTACTTCATTTCCTTGATTCCTCACATACTGATTTATGACCAGCATTTAACCACCAAAATCATAAGGTTAAATCTCACATTTTCCACCAATATCCTTTGCATTGCTCAATTCCCCAAACAAGGCTATTGTCCCAATTAATTAGTCTCGTTTATTGTATGATTCCATCTACCGTCTTGTTAGAATGTCTACGTACTCTAAATAGGGATCAAGCCATTCGTAGTTCGCACTAGTCCTCCAAAGCATTCACATAAATTATATGAAATATTCAATTTATAAATGTTTGTGGAGATGTCAATCTTATATATACACGATAGAAGGGAAAAGACCCATTCACCTTAGGTCTGCTCTACGACTCCCTCGCACGAATATCGAGACATCACGAATTATCATCGCCTGTGACCAATTATTAAATCACGTCTCAGAGTTCTTACCGATAGAATACATAATTTACATAAAACACATCCCTACGTAATACAATTCGTAAGATGTGCATCACGGATCTCCAATCCGTTATTTCAAAGATTTACATTATGTTTCTAGAACAACGTCCTAAGGTTTCATTACGATCCAACGGTCGGATCTCTGCCAATTGCTAAAACCAATTGACGGTCAACATTTTATTTTATGAACTTACAAATTCAATTCATGAAGATCCGTTCATCAGATTCCCGATCCGTAAGGTTCTATGGTTCTCAAATATTACGTACTATAATGTATTAAAGTTTGATGATAATCCAACGGTCAGATTGTCGATTCATATAATGACCTTTTAACGTATTGTAGAGAATTTAGGTTTCGACGATCAATCTACGTCATACGATCCTCATGACTGAACTCCAGGCATCTCATTTATCCTAAACATAAAATTGATGGTCCTCTGGCCACGCGTCGCCAGTGAGTGGCGGTCGGCCACCCCGACTTGCCGGAAAATTCAATTATTTCTAAAAATTTTCAAAAATTATAGAAATGAAGATCTCAATGAGCAAAACAACTTTCATACCTGCCACGAAATCCAAAAGTGGATAGAAGATGGTCAATTTTGCCCACGAAGCCGGCGGGTGCTTAAAGCTTCCCAGTGTTGATTCGTCATTTACGGTGGTCCAACGGGCCAAGGTTGGTTGGGTTTTGCTCTTGGGATGATGGGCTACAAAGCCCAAGTGGTGGCATCGGCCATCGCTTTGCCATTTTGTCGGAAAAATAAAAAAGGGTAGCCGGAGCATTGTGAGAACCGTCAACTTTCGTGGCCTCAAACCGCCACATGCAGAGGTTAATCAAGGTGGTTCTTGGGTGGATTTTGTAGAGGGGAATAAGAGCTTCAAGATGGCAGTGGCGGCGTTGAGAAATTCCACCCGAGTTGGCCGGAATCAACCTTGGAAGTTGGGTGGTTGCGGTGGTGGCGTGCCCGAGAAAGCTGGGAGTTTTCTTCCCTTTATTTATTTATTTTTTTTTTTCTGATTTCTAATTGGGCTGCTGCCCCTTTTCTACCTTTTATCTAATTGGTCACCCTTAACCAATTAACTAACTTTAAATAACCAACTTCAAATGTTCGTAACTATACCGTTATAATGAAAATTCGCAAACGACTTTCGCCTAT